GGTTTATATGTCACTGAAGTCGACGTTAGTATTAGACTTACCCGTCGGACAAAAATCTAAATGGTATTCGGCACTTATGCATTAATGTTGAAGGAAATGCTTTTTACTTTTTTAAAAGGTTTTTGTAAAATGTAGTACAATAGATTTAACGAACAAAAGTTGTAGCTTTGAACCATCTTGAAATACGCAACATTATAATTTTGTAATATATGCGCCAATATTGATTGATGAAGATGTTATACAATTTGAGTAGAGATTGATGAAGTTGTGATACAGTTTCAGTAGAGATTGATGAAGTTGTGATACAATTTCGGTAGAGATTGATGAAGTTGTGATACAATTTCAGTAGAGATTGATGAAGTTGTGATACAATTTCGGTAGAGATTGATGAAGTTGTGATACAGTTTCGGTAGAGATTGATGAAGATGTTATACAATTTCGGTAGAGATTGATGAAGTTGTGATACAGTTTCGGTATAGATTGATGAAGTTGTGATACAATTTCGGTAGAGATTGATGAAGTTGTGATACAATTTCGGTAGAGATTGATGAAGTGTGATACAATTTCAATAGAGATTGATGAAGTTGTGATACAATTTTAGTTGAGGTTGATGAGTTGATATACAATTTTAGTAGAGATTGATGAAGTTGGGATGCAATTTCAGTAGAGATTGATGAAGTTGATATACAATTTTAGTAGAGGTTAATGAAGTTGTGATACAATTTTAGTAGAGATCGATGAAGTTGTAATATAATTTTAGTAGATATTGCAACTACATGTAAACCTCTATGGCTTTTGAAGTACAATCTGACGAAAAACCATGTTTTTACATAAACGAAGGAAAATCACACCGGTGTTTATCATATACAGAGGTATGGCCGTGGAATCGACTAGTTATCTACAAGTTTGCATAAATAATCAAATATCATTCAAAATAAACATACAATACATTAAAAGGGTAACAGGAATTGACAAAATATTGCCGGGACAGTATAACAGACCACACCAACCACTACTGTGATACCAGACTCCTCCGACACGAAAGACAAACAACAACGAACAACACAGTCTCAGATAGCCTAACTTGGTTTTGAAATAAAACTAAATGTAGTGTTTTTGTGTTTCGCTTTTTTTGTATCCGAACCTAACTGTCATGACTGTGTTGTGAATAAATTAAACAAAACACCCCCCTCCCCCTTCCCCGAAAAAAATTATCAGCATTGCTGCTGCCCCGCATCCGCAGGATATCAAATGATCGACCCTTGTTATTTTTAATTATTATACGTGAAATCAAATTTTCAAACCATACACGCCCAGCCACAGTAAATAATAATCAAACCTTTAAACTAGATATACATATTCTTTTTCGTGAATAAGGAAAAATTGCACAGCACTATAACATCTATCATATTACAGACATTTGACACCAAAGAAGGCTATTTGTTCAGCCGAAATATTTGTCAACACGATTTTAAAACATTCTTTTCGTGTACGTATTACCGTCTTATACTCGTATCGTTGCGCAAATCTTAATTAGATATAAGAAGATGTGGTATGAGTGCCAATGAGACAACTCTCCATCCAAGTCACAATTTATAAAAGTTAACCATTATAGGTCAAAGTACGGCCTTCAACACGGAGCCTTGGCTCACACCAAACAGCAAGCTATAAAGGGCCCCAAAAATGACTAGTGTAAATGCTTTCAAACAGGAAAACCAACGGTCTAATCTATATAAAAAAAAACGAGAAACGAGAATCACTTATGAACCACATCAAACGACAACCACTGAACATCAGGTTTCTGACTTAAGACAGGTTTAAACAAATGCAGCGGGTTTAAACGTTTTAATAGGCGCCAACCTTCACCCTACCTGAAACAACAGTGTAACATCACAACATAGAGAGTTTAAGACTTTTATATGTTTTCCTTATCTGCTCAGTATCGCCTGTTTTAGATGATCCGGTACATATTAAATTGTGTTTTTCTTTCGCCACAGACTGTCCACAAAAAAAAAACCCCACCAGTAACTAGACGTAAAAGATAGGTGGAAGATATCATAGGGATAATCAAACTCATAAATCGATGAAAAACTGACAAAAACTAAAACCGACCAAAATTAATGACAAACAACAACAAAACACAACATAGAAAACTAAATGGACTGTGCAACACGAATCCCACCAAAAACTGGGATGATCTCAGGTCTTCCGAAAGGTTAAGCAGATACTGCTCCACATGTGATACCCGTCGTGTTGCTCATGTAAGTAAAATCTCGGTGATAAGTCAACTTCTGTGATCTGGGAACAGTATATCAATATATATGTTCCTGTTGTGATGTAAAAAAAAGAAAGTACAACTTTGGCAACTTTTTTATTATGTATTGGGAAGCACAAAAGATGCCAACTAAATATAGATGAATATCTCTTTGTGATCGTCTTAAAACGAATCCCACCAAAAGCATGGGTGATCCCAGGTTTTCCGAAAGGGTGAGCAGATACTGCTCCACATGTGATACCCGTCGTGTTGCTCATGTAAGTAAAAACTCGGTGATAAGTCTACTTCTGTGATCTGGGAACAGTATATCAATATATATGTTCCTGTTGTGATGTAAAAAAAAGAAAGTACAACTTTGGCAACTTTTTTATTATGTATTGGGAAGCACAAAAGATGCCAACTAAATATAGATGAATATCTCTTTGTGATCGTCTTAAAACGAATCCCACCAAAAGCATGGGTGATCCCAGGTTTTCCGAAAGGGTAAGCAGATACTGCTCCACATGTGACACCCGTCGTGTTGCTCATGTAAGTAAAAACTCGGTGATAAGTCTACTTCTGTGATCTGGGAACAGTATATCAATATATATGTTCCTGCTGTGATGTAAAACAAAGAAAAAACAACTTTTGCAATTAACTCTGACTGTTTTATTATGCATTGGGAAGCACAAAAGATGCCAACTAAATATAGATGAATATCTCTTTGTGATCGTCTTAAAACGAATCCCACCAAAAGCATGGGTGATCCCAGGTTTTCCGAAAGGGTAAGCAGATACTGCTCCACATGTGACACCCGTCGTGTTGCTCATGTAAGTAAAAACTCGGTGATAAGTCTACTTCTGTGATCTGGGAACAGTATATCAATATATATGTTCCTGCTGTGATGTAAAACAAAGAAAAAACAACTTTTGCAATTAACTCTGACTGTTTTATTATGCATTGGGAAGCACAAAAGATGCCAACTAAAAATAGATGAATATCTCTTTATGATCGTCTTAAAACGAATCCTACAAAAACCCATGGTGATCTCAGGCTTTTCAAAAGTGTAAGCAGATACTGCTCCACATGTGACACCCGTCGTGTTGCTCATGTAAGTAAAAACTCGGTGATAAGTCTACTTCTGTGATCTTGGAACAGTATATCAATATATATTTTCCTGCTGTGATGTAAAACAAAGAAAACACAATTATTGGCGATCGTCTTCAAACAATAATATTATTGTGATTTCATCTGCAAGAATCATCCGATTTACGACGAAAAAAGTGTGTGTTTGTGTTGTTGAGGTGTTGTTGGGTGTCTCAGTTTCATTTGATACTATTCTTTTTATCAAGTCAGTGAAGCAAAAACTTTGTAAAAGTTTAAAATTTTGGAACAAAAAGTAGTAAATTAGATATTTATTTCAAACTAAAAACTTGTTTTCTAAAGAAATTTATCTATCTTTTAACTATTTTCGATTGAGAAGTGCCATATGTTAAATCAGAACCAGTGTCCATATGATATCAAAATAGGAAGAGTCAGTATAACACTTTATATTTAGAAAGAGATCGCGCAGAGGCTATGCAAAAAATATACTCTTAATTTGGTTGAAGATGAACAACATTTTAATAAGTTGTCCAGCAAACAATGATGTTAGAGAGATGTTTTTAAAGAGATATTTTTTAAAGAGATAAACAATATTTGTCATTACTTTTCAGATCTCTCAATTGAGGAAAAAATTGTTTGGTATTTGTCTGTTCTGAAGTATTTAGGGAATTGTATTATTTTAAAAATGTTAGACGAAACGTAAATTAAGACACTTAACAATAGTGATATGATAATTACAACGAAATTATGGTTCTCGTCCTGCCTGGATTAAATGTACATGGGTTATATTGGACGAAGAAATATATGTAGGTTTAGAACATGAACTATATGAAATTTAAAATTTCATTTCAATGTGAAATTATTTTTTTAACCGAAAATCAGTGCTTTGATTTTGCTCATAATGGGTCTCAAGTTGGTTTCTTAGGCCCAGATTTTAAATTTTATCGTCAATTTTTATGTAAATATTTATTGATAAGATCATCCCCTACTCTGACTATATTAAGGTATATAGGATTTTTTTTCAGAACCGTTTGGTGTGCACAATATAGGAGGGTAGGAATGGGGTACCCCACATGACGAATGACGGTAAAATATTTGTAAGAATAACGTTAACGATAAATATTTTACTCCTTTTGACGCTAACGGTAGCTACAAAATGAGATTTGACGAATGACGATAAAAAAAATAAGGCTCATTTGACGCTAACGGTAGCGAAAAACGGACGTTTGACGCTTGACGATAAAGGGCATTCCTACCCTCATATAGTGGTGAATAATACAAACTAAAGAAGAAGAAGAAGGGTCATATTTTGGAAATAAACAAAAATGTACCGATTAAATGTTACAATATTTTCTGAATATAAACTACGTAGTAATCCTCTTCGCGGCACGAAGTGATCATGTTTTTTGGTATATCTTGTCATTTATAGGGGTCAAGGTCAACATTGATAAGCCACGTCATTGTCAGCTGAGTAAAGGATTTCCCTCCTGGGTAGATTGAGGGTAAATTTTCTTTCTTTGCATATGTTTATCATATTGAATTTGAACTAACCATAAAATGAATTTATTGTATACCTATTTGCCAAGTCGACTTTTTAATCATGGAACAAATCCAAATGACGCAGGATATTTTTTTTAATTAAAAGAAATACCTTATCGACCCTCAATTGCATCAGGGTAGTTTCCGTGACGTCACATAAGGAATTTCGGACTTTGATCCCAGACGTGTGTTTTGAGCTTATCAGACAGCTTATAAATCCACAAAGCGGTGTTGGTTTGTCAAATTAAAACAGATATTGTGGTAAGTTGCACTCTTTTTTAGAAAAAAATTGTTTTATTAATCCCATATCATAATGAACAGAATGGTGTTTATTTAAAATTTAAAAAAATGTGATCTACCAGAAAAGGGGATCTGATACACAGGCACTTGTTTTTGTAAATGGGGGTAAACCCTCCATGGCATTGACAGAAACAAGTGCCTGCGTGTGATCAAAGACCCTATTTTTCAATTTTTGTCTGGTCATAATCGCGTATAAAAATAAGTTTAGGGGCACAGACAATTGTTTCTGTAAAGCAAGGATTTGTATATTTATACTATACAAATCATAGTGTAAAGAAAACAACTCGTTACAGGGATGGAAATTTAGATTTTCAAAGTGGTAGCCTACAACTGTATATATCTAGCTTTTTTTTGGTGATTTTTGAGCTCCATTGATTATAAATATATCCTCTAATATTAACATTGATTGATGATTGGTGTTTAACGCCACTTTCAACACTATTGTACTATTTCGTGACGGACAGTTTCATTGGTGGAGAGAACCACGACCTTCGGTAGGAAAACTGACAATCCTAGTCAATTAAGATTGGAGTCGAGTGTACCTGCTCTGTGTGGGATTCGAACTCACAACCTCAGTGTTGACTGGCTAGTGATTCTAATATTAACATGTTGATTACAGAGTTTGTATGTACAGACACCACATGCAGGAAAAACAAAGGATAATGGAAGAACAACAGTTCATAAATCAACTGGGAAAGATCCCTGTGGTCAGTTCAGCCTGGACGCAGGCCTACAATCTCTACCAGAGAACTAAAGGATCCAATGAATTACTGAAGTCCTCTCTTAACATGGCAGAGGCCGGTGTTAAAACTGTGGTTGATACGTCAGTAGTGTTTGGTAAACCATTGGTAGAACGATACCAACCACAAAGTAAGTTCTGTAGGTCAATATTTAGCGTTGGTAAAGGGGAGGGGGATTATGAAAAGAAAAACATTTTTATTTTTAGGCCAAAAAGAAAGCAGCCCAGGAATAGATCATCTGATGTATACAACATTGAACCTAAGGTGTAAGCCTCAGCACATTGTATTAATAGTATTCTGTCCAATGATGGTCGTGATAGTAGTCATCCTACATACATGTACATACATTGTATGGTGTAAAAGACATATTTCAACAATACATTATCTGATAGCAACAAAAATACTTCATTAGTAATTGTTAATCTACAAAAAATGTATGTCATAGTTTAGAACATACAATTTAATTAAATGTTGCAATTTAAATAGACAAAACTAGCTTTTAAATTTAGGATAGAATGTATAATATACATTAAGGGGTGAGTCTAGTATGGCTTTCTTAGAAATTTCTGTCAGTATATCTATAACTATAGTCAATGATTATCTCTATTCTGTGCTATAAACGAATTTTTTATATTAAAGTCACTTATTTTGTAAAGATTTACTTGTGAATTAAAAATTTCTATTTTACAGTTGTAGAAAAAGCTAACAGTTATGCTTGTGAGAAATTAACCCAATTGGAAGAGAAATACCCTGTTATCAACAAACCTACGGAAGAGGTAAGGCTACAAATATTTTTTAATACTACTATAAAAAAAGGAGATTTGGTATGATTCCAAAAGAGACAACTACATTTATCCACCAGAGATCAGATGATGTTGATGTTAACAACTATAGATCATCATAAGCCATAAGGACTTCAACAATGAGCAAAACTCATACTGTATAGTACTGTAAGTGATAAAAAGCCTGAGATGAAAAGATGTAAAATAATTCAAACAAGAACACCAATGGCCTGATTTGAGAGTAAAAAAAAACAATGTAACAGGCAGCAACCAACAGCAACCACTGAATTACTAGCCTATGGCTTGGTTAAGTAAACTTCAAATCACTGTGAATTATTTAGGATACATGCTTTGTCTTGAGAAGGTATTGCTTCTTTTGGTGGAGTCATTTAAACTAAGTAAATCATTTTACATTAGATTTTATTTAGTGGCTAAATCAAGTAATTAGATTGGTACATTGTTGTACTCTTAAGACATCAGTACATTTTATTCATGGAGGTAACAATGTCTATATATATGATTTGTGATCCTTTTCACATCTGATATCAATCAAGACTTTATACTGGTTCAAAGTACACACATGTCATCTGAATTTATATCAATCGAAGGTTATACATTTAAAACATCATGTTTTCTAAAATGTATATCAATTGAAGGCCAGATAAGGTTTCAAAAATAGAATTCCCTTGACATACTTATTTTAAAAACTTTTCTGACAAGTAGACGATGTCTGACCTGTTAACTGATAACATTGACACCAGAACATGTAACAGTGTAAAAAACATTACTGTGCAAATGGGGAAAATATTACAATCTATGGTCATGATGGTTAACAATAACTTGATGAAAAAAGGCAATTTATATGTGAAGTAAACCAAGCCATGAATGTGTGTATGTTAAATTTCTATAATCATTTATGTCATTTGGCTATTGAAATTACATATATATTTATTTTTATTAATATTTTTTGTAAATGTACTATCAGATTTTAATAAATCTTTGCCAGGTATGATAAAAGATTATTTGACTTTTGTAGTTAATGGAAGATGGTAAACAGATGTATGATAAGTATGTGAAGCCAACAGTCGATCGTGTGGTAGCTGTCAAGGATTTCACAGCTAATTCTTATAACACTGGAAAAGAACAGGTTAGTTGTATATGCATTTTAAGTACAATTTAATCATTTGATAAAGCAGTGTAGCAGAAAGTAATCTATTAAATGCTGCCTATGTTCATACTACCAGTCCTGTCTACCACTTTTATCTGAAATAATTGTAGCAAAATCAAGAAACTAATAATGACCAAAAAAAATCATACAATAACTGCAAAGGATTTTCATATATAAAATGTAAAACTGATGTTGAAATGTTTAATTCCTCAACAGATAGGAAAGGTAAAACAGATTGGATCAGCCGTGACAGAGTTTGGTTGTAACCAAGTGGCCAAGACCATGGAGACTCCATATGGTCAGTTTGTGTCCAGCCAAGTCAATAATGCCTTAGATTTTTCAGAACAATATGTGGAGAAATACTTGCCAGAGTCTGACTCTGAAGATGAAGGTATAATAATTATTGTATTTACACTGTATATGTTTAAAGTTAGATTAGGATAGTTTTTTACAGGAAAAGATGACTTACGTGTATACCGCCAATTGAAGCTTGTGTTACAAGGATCTCACAGGAACCATATTGTGTTCTATATTTTAAATCTTCAATAATTTTCTTCTTGACAATGCTCTTCCTATTTTAATTCCGTTTCTGGTTGACAACACATACTAAAAAGTTCAATAGATCCAAAAGACAGAGATAGATATGAAATAATAAAAATAGATATCAAGATTATTTGGCAACATTTCCTGTAGCCTTAAACTTTAAGTGAATACAAAGATATTCCAGTCTTTGATGTTAAATAAATGATTTATTTAAATATGAAAATATCTTATCTATCCCTATTACTCGTCAATAAGAATACAGGTTAAAAGACTCAGGTAGAATAAAGTGACAAATATACTGGTTAATAAGAATGTTTAAACTGAAATTTATATGATACAGTTAAAATTTATATTAATATGGTTGGAATGACCACCAAAGTATATCTTTACAATCTTATATAAATTTTTACATTAATACTTGCAATAATAAATTACAGAAAATGTGGAAAAGGAAGAAATGGATGAATACCCACCAAATGCTGTAACAAGAGCTACTAGTCTGACAGGGAAGGTCCGTAAGAGGATGTATAACAAAGCCATGAGAGATATGAAGAGGTTACAACTGAGAAGTCAAGAAAATCTGGCTAAACTTAGCTTTACTGTAGACTTGGTAAGATTTGGTCTTCTTTTTCATGCTTATTGATTTTAAGGCAAAATTGTTGGTAAAAGTAGACATTGACCATGTTGACCCTTACAGATACATCAACATATCACCTGTTAGTCTACCTTGAAACGTTAGTGACCTACAATATACTGTAATACTTTATGTAGAAAAATATACTTGAAAGGTTAGGTTAAGGGAAATCCAGAAATGTAAAAAAATAAAGAGTAAACCTAATTTTCCCCCCAATTGCAAAACCAGCTAAGGAATTTCAAATAGTTCTACTCTCTTTTTAATTTTTGTAATGTTTTTTGTGTCTTCACAGATTCAGTATGCTAAGACTAATATTGAAACAGCAACAGGAAAGGTGACAGGATCTTTTGGAGCCGTTCAAGATAAAATGACCTCAGTATGGTCACAGATTGTTACAGAAGAAGATGAAGTCCAAGAAGTTCCGAAGGTAAATTCTTGTTTCCTGGTTAAAAATAACCATGAGACAATAAATTCAGATTAAAAGGTATAGAAATGGAATGACATACAGTCCCAAGGAATTCCAAAAGTAAATTCTTGTTTCCTGGCAACAAAAACCATGAAACAATGGATACAGGTTTAAAGGTATAAAAATGGAATGTAAATCATGTCTTTTTTAAGATTCTTACTTGAATCTGTATGGTTATAGAAATAAGTGTAAAATTTTAATTCTTTTCTTAATTAAAACAATTTTGAACTATACTAAATATGCAGAGTAAAGAATTATATTTTGAATTAAGGAGATTTGATATAGGGGGATAATAAGTTAACACAATAATGTATTCTCCTTCTGTTACTAGTTTTGTTTATGATGACTCAAAATTATTACATAGAAAATGTGACATTTTGTTTTGCAGACTCTAGAGGGACAGTCGATTGCTGTAGCTAGGAATCTTACAAAGAAAGTCAAGATAGGAATAACAACATTAACATCTTACATCCCAGAGTCTGTACAGATTACACTTAAAGACAGAATTGACCAAGCCAAACAGTATTCAGATGACCTAATCAAATCTTTCCAAAATGTAAGTTATTTATCTATGAGTCTAAATAGATAACACTTCAAGCCAAACGATATTTAGATGACCTTGTCTTAAACTCCATAGGCAGTCTTCAGAACTGAATAGCATTTGAATATGATCCTTAACTGGGTTTCACCTGATCTTCATTCTAAATATAGGAATGTATATGTTACAGCTAGATAGATGTTGTACCTGTAGAATACATCTCTGTAAATTTTGATTGGCAAGAAATCAAATATTTTTTACAAACTATCTTGAATTTGATTATGTCTTTAGTATAAAAAAATATTCTCAAAATGTATTGCAGATAGTAAAATCACTGAGAGGTGTTGAAATAGAATTTTTTTATACAAAGTTGAAGTATATGAAATTGAAAGTCTTGAATTATGTTTTTTAACTGCAGGTTGACTCTTATGAAGAAGTTCCTAGTTGGTTGTTAGCCCAGGCACAAGAAAAAATGGGATATGTACAAGAAACAGTTAGCTTCCTTACTGAGTACCTTCTGTCTAAGCCTCTGGACTGGTTGGTAGGTATCAGAAACACCTTGGAGGGGGACTTCATCGGTCACTTGCATGACCAGTTAACACTTTTAAGGGAAACAAACCTTTCTTGATGGACTGTTGTTATTTGATTTTCAAACAAATTTCAAGTGAGTAGGACTTTGTTTCAAGTCTATCCTCATGCAGTCTAATGTTTGATATAAGTCTGTCATAAAAAATCCTTTTCTGAATGTACATGTATTTAAAGCATTTAAAATCCACAAAATTACCTCAGACCTTATGCAGTTGAAGACAACCTTCCAAAATTTTGGTACGTTTTTAATGGTCTTAAGAATTCCCTCTAAAACTATCATAGGTTTTCTCTGTTTGTAAATACTATTTCCAGTGTGATAGGTAGAGTGTAAAATTTCCAAGGAATTCCACCAGACTTTATGTAATCTAAGTCTATTCCATTATAATTGGCATCATTTGAACATCCTTTAGGAGACCTTGGTGTCATCTAAATATTATCAACTGTCAATAGTTATGACATGTTTCAAAATATTACAAATATAACAGCACCACAATTCTGTTTAAATACACAAATTGTAAATACAAGTACACCAAAATATTACAAATATAACAGCACAATTCTTTTTAAATACACAAATTGTAAATACAAGTACACCAAAATATTACAAATATAACAGCACAATTCTTTTTAAATACACAAATTGTAAATACAAGTACACCAAAATATTACAAATACCAATACAGGAATAAAGACAATTTACATTGTATTTATTACAATCACATTAATAACTTTAATAATGAACACAAAAAAAATGTGTTTGAGAGAATTTGCACAGTACATTTAGACTGAAACTGATTTAGCAGTTATATTTCTGCTATAAATGGAATACTCCTGACAAAAATGGGAGAATAGAAGTCTTAACTAAATACCAGTTCTCCCAGAGTATTTCCAATACCTACTTGTTCACTCCTCCTCTCTATCTGTCTCTTGAATGTTACATAGTAGATGTATATTTAGTTTCTCCTATGAAAGTTTCCATTTATAGATGTCTCTCTGTTGTTGGTAATTCTAATAAGCATGAGTAAGAAGAAAAAAAGATTTGCATTTTTAATTAATTTATTTCTAACATTATGAATGGATTGAATTTGTATTTCCATGACATGCTGTCTAATCTACTAACCAATAAGAAGTTTAGGTTCTTGCATTTGAACTAACTTTCATATGATTGACAACATTATGCGAGAATACAATGTATGTATAATTTTGGTAGATACCCAACAGAAAAAGACCGGAGGAAAAGGAAGATTAATCAACAGAAAACTGGACAATTTCTTGTATGATTCTGATCTGCAAGATGTGATACAAAATGCTAGGATTTTACTATGGGAATGCATAATTGACATTTTTACATATTCTTTTACTATATGCTATGAATATTTGTAAAAATAAAAATTTATACAAATAATTGTTGTGTGTATATATGTTGTTTCCCTCACAGACAAACTATGTACATTAGCATCCATGTACATGTCAATGTTAACTGTTGTGAAATGTGCTCTCAGATACAGCATGGACTATTCCTGTTATAGGGTGAATTGACTGTAGACCTTTTCCTGTATTCATTCCTGTACAATTTCTGCATCTTATCCTGAACAATTCTTGTTCTACTGTCATATGCAAAAATAAAAAAAATAATGTTTACTTGAAATAGCCTGCATATTTCAAATAAAAAAGAAATTAATTGTGAATGTTTTTGTCGAGCCTTCGACTTTTGTCGAAAAAGCGAGACATAGCGATCCTACATTCCGTCGGCGTTGTCGTAGTCGGCGGCGGCGTCCACAAATATTCACTCTGTGGTTAAAGTTTTTGAAATTTTAATAACTTTCTTAAACTATCCTTGATTTCTACCAAACTTGGACAGAAGCTTGTTTATGATCATTAGATAGTATCCAGAATTAAATTTTGTAAAAAAAAAAATCCTGTTTTTTCGTATTTTACTTATAAATGGACTTAGTTTTTCTGCCAGGAAACATGACATTCACTCTGTGGTTAAAGTTTTTAAAATTTTAATAACTTTCTTAAACTATCCTGGATTTCTACCAAACTTGGACAGAAGCTTGTTTATGATCATAAGATAGTATCCAGAATTAAATTTTGTAAAAAAAATAATCCTGTTTTTCCGTATTTTACTTATAAATGGACTTAGTTTTTCTGCCAGTTAACATGACATTCACTCTGTGGTTAAAGTTTTTAAAATTTTAATAACTTTCTTAAACTATCCTGGATTTCTACCAAACTTGGACAGAAGCTTGTTTATGATCATAAGATAGTATCCAGAAGTAAATTTGTAAAAAACAAAATTCCATTTTTTCCGTATTTAACTTATAAATGGACTTAGTTTTTCTGCCAGTTAACATTACATTCACTCTGTGGTTAAAGTTTTTAAAATTTTAATAACTTTCTTAAACTATCCTGGATTTGAACCAAACTTGGTTAGAAGCTTGTTTATGATCAAAAGCTAGTATCTTGAAGGAAATTTTTAAAAATTTTGTACCTGTTTATCAGTATTTTACTTATAAATGGACTTAGTTTTTCTTCCAGTTAACATTACATACAGTCTGCAGTTAAAGATTTAAAACATTTATTAGATTCATAAACTATCCTGGATTTTTACCAAATTGGGACAGAAGCTTCTTACAATCAAAAGATTGTATCGAAAGTAATATTGTTATTATTTTTTTTCCTCATTTTTGTTGAGCCTGCGATTAACAGCAAAAGTAGGCGAGACACTGGGTTCCGCGGAACCCTTACGAATTTTTTTAATGTGAAACTAAAGGATGTTCAAAAGATGTTGCAACTTAAAGACATTAACCTTGAAGAGAAAAAAAAATGCATTCTCTTTTAGCACTACCAAAACAATTACCGAAATGACATTTATCAAAAGTGTAGAATGCAAAATCCATAATTTGCAAAACAAGCTAAGTTCTGCTTTCAGTTAATATGTCATTCCCTTTAGACAGTATAATTAGAACTTATGACTCTATTGACTCCATACAAAAATTATTGTTTTTTTATTATGATTTTTGACCAAATGAAGCATTTATGCCTAATTATAATCTCTTGAAATAAAAAAAATAGATGACATGGAATTGTAAACAGCTAAAACTGAAGCAATCAGTTGACTCCTTATAAAAAACCAAAAAGGAATATAGCAAAACTTAGATGACTGCTTAGTTAATAAAGAAGTTATGAAAGGGAGAATCAAAACTCATCAGTCAAAGAGAGATAGAAAAAATCATGATGAAAAATGACGAAAAGAGAAACAACAGTCTACGATACACTTTATAAAAAACAAAAGACGAGCAACATGAACCCTACCCAAAACCAGTCGTGATCTCAGGTGCTCCAGAAGGCTTATCAGATGTTAAGAACCGTTTCATGTGGGGAGGGAGAGAAGCTTGAAAGATATGTTTACAAAAAAATCTTCTTGATTTTTGTCTTGCCTCAACGAAGTAGAAAAAGCTGTACAATGTATAAGTCTGTGATAAGGTCAGTTCAAAGGGAACAACTAATGGCTGGTCAATGATGTATGGTTTGCAGTTGTATAGGCACATCTCATTTCCATGGAGATTATTTGGTCCAATCCCGTCAGTCTTGCTCTCTTGACTTGAAATGTTTGCTTAGTTTACATGTAAAAGTTTGTGATTAGGTCAGTTTAAGGGGTACCACTATTGGTAGGTCAATGATATTTAGTATGCAGTTGTATAAACATTGGCACATCTCATTTCCATGGAGATTATTTGACCTATTCACTCAGTCATGGTCTGTTGACTTGGAAACTTATTCATGTTTGCATATCAAAGTTTGTCATTAGGTCAGTTTTAAGGGGAGCCACTATTGGTAGGTCAATGATCTTTGGTATGCAGTTGTATTAGCATTTGCACTCCCATTTCATTAGAGATTATTTGACCCCGCACCCCTCATCATGATTTATTGACTCAAAATTTGCATGGTTTACCTGTTAAAGTTTGTGTTTAGGGTAGTTTAAAAGGAACCACTGATCATATGTCAATGGTTTAAAAATAAGTAGACGTGATATGATTGCCAATTAGACAATTCTCCACCAGAAACAAAATTACATAGAAGTTAACAACTATAGGTCACTGTATGGCCTTCAACAATGAGCAAAACCCATATCGCAGACAGCTATAAAAGACCCAGAAAAATTCAAACGAAAAACTAAACTTTTATATACAAAACAATGAAAAAAGTCCAAAATATGATATACAGCAACAAACAACAACCACTGAATTAAAGGCTCCTGACTTGGACAGGCACATACATAACAGAATGATAGTTGGTATTGAGTTGTATTAGCATTGGCATTTCTCATTCCATTGAGGTTTTTTTGCCCTGCACCGTCAGTCATAGTTCATTGTCTTTGAATATTTTTCCTAGTTTACATGTTAGATAGAGTATTGCCATTCAATTCCAGCATTTGCATAATACTATCAAAATACATAAAGGCAAGGCATATCTCTGTGTCAAAAGTTTATTATTTAAAGTGTAATCCTGGCGCTGAAGAAAACGATGTTTGTCTTGATTTCACTTGTTGTATAATTGACAATTAATAATTCATTACCAGAAAAAATATTTGATCACCAAAAAGATGAAAATAATATCAAAAGGGCATAATGTGAGCAGTTCATCTCCAAGGTGTTATGTTATTTTTTATAATAGTTCACAGACATTTGTTTTGTTTCAGTCACCAGAGTTTGATTTAGATGGTATAAATTTAGCTGACCCTGTGATGGACCTATCCTCCAATGGCCATGCCCACCATGTGCCTTTTGATGGGGACAACACAGACAATCAGTAATCTACTAGGCGACATTCTAATATGTCTTTCATACTTATATCATAGGCTTTACCATATCTGTTTGTTTAGGAATCAGTAGTTTACAAACATGTGCTTACCAATGAAATCTAAAGAATAAACATAACTCATGTGGTTATAAAACAAATGTATGATATTGAACCATTGAACAAAAGTGCTTTGTTTCCATACTGTAATTTATTTTAAATATATATGAAAGATTGTAATTTAAAGTTATTTTATTATATGTACAAAAGGAGATCTGGCACTTATATCAATGGGAAAACAACCCAATGATACAATGACAAATCCCCCCTTTTAGACATTTAAAAAAAAATCTATGGTGGATAGATGTCTCATTGACAATCATACCACATCTACTCTTAATAGACAACTATCAATATGCTATTGGAATCATTATCATTGGTCTCTTGCAATAATTTGTTCAGGTAATTATGAAAGTTTCAGAAAAAATTTCCCAACTAAGGTCCCAATTATAAATGAAAGTGAAAAGGTTAATGGTAATGTATTGATATGGTAAACACCCTGTAATTCTTTTACTTACTAGTTTTAGTTCCCTTATAGAAGTTGAGGGAAATTATTGAAGTATGTCGGAATGCACCTCTAGAGCCAGTTGTCATTAGATATATCAACTTTTAGATAATTAATGACTTACAATCATATAATTTGGTGTAAGAATGCATTAAGGGGGTATTACAGCTTCTTTCGAAAAGTAGGCCATTCAGACAGAACTCTTATTCTTCTTGACTCAGTATTTAAACGTCAAAGTTTAATTTCATGAGTTAGGCTTAACAGACCTTTCCACACTGAATGGAAATTGAAAAAATTTAGCCATATTGAGGACATTGCAAACTTTGAAATTGTAGATAGCAGAGTATATTTTTTAATTCTTTTTCATAAGATTATTTTGTTTGTTTTTGAATAGCATTATGTGTTGTAAATAAAAGCATAACTTATCTGTTTTGAGCCATCCTCCTACATGTAATATCTGTATGAATTTTCTAGTTCTTGGATTCATTTTAGATAAATAATCAACAATCTCTTAAAATCAAGAAGCTGTCATACCATTTCACATGAAAGAATATGTGCAGGTTTTTCTGCTAGCAAAACATTTTTTTAAGCCAGCAAATTAATAAATAGATGTTATTGTGCAAGCAGCTGTGTCATTAACTTGACATTTTTTTAAATCAATTGCTTTCAAGAAATGGGAAGAATAAAATGTATATACTCATTCTTTTTTTCCTGCTATTTCACAATGTAGTGTTAAATTTGGTTGAATTGCAGTTGCATCTGGTTTAATTATCTCCCCCTGAATTTAACACTTTTGTGTAAAGTTATCTCCTCTTGCCAAATTCAGTAGGTCAATATTGTATGTTTCTTTAATATATATTATTATGAAAAAAAAATAATGAATTCCCATTTTTGCATTCAGATTGCAAATCATAAAACATCTGATGCAAACTTATTTACATTGAAATCTTCGGTCAGAAGCTCAGATGTGTTTATGACTATGACCAACTTTGCACACATGTGAGATAAGAATGTTTTGAAATCAGATCTGTTTCTTAGTTTTTCTGCAAGAAGTCAGAATTTAGATCTTGTAATATTGCAAACAAGCCATGAGTTATTATGATATATCTAAAAATATTTTTAAATAGTAGCCAATACTGCCAAAAGGTTACCATTCATATACATTAAATCTGAATTTACAGCATATAGATTGTATTTTTTCTCCTGTCAAATAAAGTAATGCATAGTGTACAAATTTTATGAAATCCTTACAGCTTAGTGAAATCCTGATTATTGCACAAAAATACATTGCCATCCTATCCTTTGCACACATATTTCATTAAACTGCCTGATAATTTTGTAATGAAATTTGCTGTTCAGTGATTATTTTCAGAAATATGTGGTTTGGTCGTATCATTTGCTTTGGTTGTACATGTACCATGCTGTACACACCTCTATGCAGGTGATATATGTAGTACATTGTTTTTTCATATATGTGTGTGTCATTATAGTTGTTGTTTTGTTATATTAGTGTTTTCAGATCAGTTTTAGTGCAAAGATTACTTAGAAATCCAATATTTTAAAGTGAATATAACTTTTTTTTTATGTCGCAGTCTCAGAAAAAAAATTTATGTTTTAATGTAAGAAAAATAAATGTACCAGTATGTGTAATAATGTAAATGCTGTAGTTTCATTAAGAACAGTTTACAAAAAGGCCAACATTTTATCTATAGATTGTTTTTTTTTTAATTCTGATCAGTTAAACAATTAGAAAAGAGTGCAAAGTAATGATCGATCAAGATTTTTAATTTTTTATCAGAAATTTTTTATTTTAAAATAAAATAAAAATTTAAATCATTGTTCTTAATAAAACCCTGTAATAGAATAGAATGTTGGCCAATTACTAGTTTTCTTTTGAGATTAACTTGTTACTCATTTAGAAATCTCATGAAATCCTAAGTAATTTATATTTTTTATTTATTGCCTTTATTTTCAATATATTTTATCATTATTCTTGAATTGCAATTTTACTGTGTTCATTCTTTGACAATCAAATCTATAAATATAAATTAAACTCATTTTATAAGCTACAGATCTTTGTCTTTCTTAATAGCCTTGATACTGATACAAAAACTAAGTAAAAACTCTTAATTTCCATAGTTACAGTAATTCACTGTAAAGACAATAGATTATGAGAAAAAAATAGAAAATATCAGCTGTGTGGTTCTGTTACTGTTTTATGGTCAAGTAAGTCACTGGTTTATAGAAACAAGACCAATACTGAATCTGGACATGAGTCAATGCATGCAATTGATTTCAAACTTTTGGCAAACATGAAGTAGCTGCATGGCAGATCTAAAAATTGTTTACACACTACAACTTAATATTATCAAGCTACAGACCAAATATAACATAATTAGCTTCCATAAAGCAAAGAAAAATTTGACAAGCATATTTCGTGAACAATGAGAGTTGTAAACTAACAGCAAACAGCAAGTAGCTGCACCTTAGATCTAAAATTGCTTTCACACTACAACATTATCAAGCTGCAGACTAAATAATCATTCCCTCCATAGAAGCCAAGGAAACTTTACAGAAATTAATCTACCCAAGGTCATTGGATGGACGGACAGACGGAGTCGAGCAGTTACTTAATCTGCTTTCACCATTGTGACAGGTAAAAAGAGTTATACTTAGTTAACCCTGGTGACACATTCTAAATGTACCTCTCTGGTGTTCAGTAAATGTTTATGCTAATTGCATAGATTGGACCCTCTCATTTGTTTTAATGCTTCTTTTGACTGTGAGCTTTTAGAGCTTATATTTGTGTGGCCAATCCAAAATTTACATGAAATATTTGCCACTGGATATTAATCAACAATTAATCAATTAGTGTGTGGCTCTCTGATTTTCAATTACATATCATATTTATTGTTTTAAACACTGATTGTCAAACATATTTATAGAATAACTAATCGAAGAATTCAAATAGAGTTGAATATTTTTCAATATTTGAATTCTTTGACTAGTTATTCTTTTTATTACATTGGCAAATGGCTTTTTTTTATGAAATTAAAGTAGAAAATGTAAGGAACTATATCTTTTTCTACGCATTCACAATTTGTTTTGATCCGACGTTATCGACGTCTTGACAATGCCTATTGTTGTATGACATCAGAGGAGTGAAATAACCATGTTAATTCACAATAAACAAAATTTAACACCAAAAAAGTATACCTGTCAATGGGACACTGTGCCCTGTTCACATCAAAATAATCTTGGTTTGAAATCCTAATTTGGCATATAAGTCTTAATCATAACAAGACCAATACCGGGTCAGGAGCTGCGACTCTGCAGATCGAGGAACATGTTTACTAAGGCATAACTGATCATTCCCTTTCATTTAAGCCAAGAAAGTTTGAAGAAAATTTTTCCTTCTACAATGAATGTCAAATAAATGGAGAAATGTGTCTATGGGCCACAGATGCCCCCACTTGTATAAAATATCCACGAGTCAATGTACTAATTATTGACATTTTCTTTTCTTTAAAGTTAATGACATATATTTCTACATGTTGTGTAGCCTTTTGTCAACTTCCACATACAGATGCAGGATTCACATAGTTAAGACCGTTTTATGATTATAAGCATTGTGTATTAAGTTTCATAACATTTGGTTGAGGCAAACTAAAGTTAGAAAACGGAGACGAAAAATTCAGCAATTTTTATGTTCATAAAGGGGCATAACTCATGAACGGTAAAAGTGATGCCACCCAATTTCGAAAATGACCTGTGTTTTGTGGTAATAAGCATTGCGTATAAGTTTTATAAGAGAACAGAAACCAATTTTTGGGAACATATGGAAGGAACGGACAAGGGTAACACTTAATGCCCCCTCCGCTAGGACGGGGGCATAAAAATTTCAAACCAAAATTTAAAACTATCAGCAAACAAAGTGGCTTCATGGCAGATGTAAATATTGCTTACACACTACAACTCAAGATTCTGAAGCTGCAGACTAAATATTAAATCATTCCTTTTCATAGAAGCCAAGAAAACCTTGAAGAAAGTTTTCTACACAAGGTCTCGAGACTGAAGGACAGATGGCAAAGTGGAGTGGTTACTAGCTACCTGAAAACAACTTTTAACTTGAAACGTGACTTACATACTTATAGAAACCAGTAATCCAATATGCTCTCTCAATACATAAAGGGAACATTGAAAGCCATACAGTTGCCTATAATTGCTTACATCCACTTCATTTGAACTTTGGCGGATAGTTGTCTCATTGGCAATCATACCACATCTCCTTATTTTTAATTTTATATTTATAACCAAGAATCTTAAAAATAGTTTCTATATTAGAGTTTACTATAGCCAAAAAAGAGATTTCCCATGCAGCACCATATGGATTCCATGAAATTGACAGGGGATACACATTTATGGTTTCAAAACTGTTAAGCATTCCATAGAAAATAACTACACTATCAATCATTTTTCAAAAGCAGTGCACCTTTAATCCAAATGATTGTTTGGGTTTTAATAAAAATAAATGGGGGAATTTGTCCATGGGATACAGATGATGCCCCCGCTTGCATATAACATTATAAAGGGCCATAACTCAAGAACTGTAAAAGTGACACTACCCAAATTTGAACTTGATCTGAGTTTTGTGGTAATAAGCATTTTTATAAGTTTCATAATATTTAGTTGATGTAAACTTAAATTAGAGAACAGAAACGAAAAATTCAGCAATTTTTCCAATTTTAAAGGGGCATAACTCTAGAACGGTAAAAGTGACACCACCAAAATTCAAACTTGATTTGTGTTTTGTGGTAATAAGCATTGTGAATAAGTTTCATAACATTTGGTTGAGGCAAACTAAAGTTATAGGACGGAAACCAATTTTGGGACGTACGAACGTACAGATGGATGAGGGTAAAACTTAATGTCCCCTCTGCTACGGTGGGGCATAAAAAGTCTTTCAACTTAAAATATGTATGAGCAAATGAAATTTACTTGTACATGAAAACTTGCAAGGAATCCTCAACATGCTGCAAACTTATAACTTTTTATTTAAAGGAGGCTTGCTAAGATCTGTCATTTCCTCCCTGAAATTGTAATAATCGTAAAGTTCTTCTACCCTTTTATAATTGTGTTAGTTCTGCAGAAAATTGAATACCCTAACACCATCTAGACACTTCAGATTTTTGTAATGTCAATGTGACATAAATATGTTGAAATTGACTTTTTTTACCTAAAAACAAAACCATTTTTTACACATAGTTTTTGGTGCAATCAGTTATTATCCATGGCCTTACTCCAGAAGGTATTTTACCCACATATCATCTTTGTATCAGATATCTTGTAGCAAGACATCTTTTGGGGTAAAGCTTTGGCTTATATCAAAGTATTAATGACAAGTTCTGAAAATGAGGCTATTTTGGCATATTTTGCAGTTGTGCATGAAATGCAAGAAGTTTGAAGCCCTAAACAAAATGCATAAGAAACAATTCTATTGGAGATGCATCTAAAAGGAGTTGAATTGCATTTTTTTCTATAATTTTCTGGCTTAATATAAAACAATAACTGTAAATAAAATATTCATTATATAATATGTAATAAAATCAGAAGAACAAATATCTGTAGTGTACATCAAAACAATTAAATCTGATATTCATAATAGCACCACACACCAACTAACCATTAACTGTTACCACAGAGATATTGTCTCGTCTTTTTTACCTTATATAAATTTTAACAATTTTTGACCCTGCTGTTCCTGTTTGACCTAACAAAAACTTTAAAAATTATTGATGCAGCTGGATTCAGCAGGCTTAAGTTTTCTGATTCTGCAACTCTCCTCTCCAGTGAAAACAAGAACCTTCCAGAGTATAGGATTTCTCATCTGCTTTATCAAAATACTTCCATAACAGAGACCAAGAAAGGATAAACATCTTACATGACCTTCCATCAAGTGAGGTCAAAATATACTATATGTATAGAACCACTATCCTATAATAAGTTGCAAGGGAAAATAAAAGAAAACTATGAAAAAGGGATTGGATCATAATTTGTTTCTCAGCTGTTATAAATTATTAAGGGGCAAACTGTCATTTGGATTGGACATTAATTTTTGAGAATACACCTCAATGTTCTTTCCATATGATTTCAAAGATGGCCAAAAAAAAGTTTGAAAAAATAATCAGATAGATAATAAAAGATATGTATTTAGTGATGACAGTATTATTAATCATTCTTCCATTTGAGCTGACATGTCACATTAAAATCAATATACTACTATGGTTATTTCACATTTAAAAATCATCATTCAGAAACAACTTATGCTAAAAGTTTGGTGTCATACAGCAGTAAACAAATGTTTACAGACATTACCATTCATTCACACAGGCTTGCTCAGCTTCAGATAAACTGGTATTTACTTTCGCTTTTACATCAATTAGTGCAATTAATGCCCAATGTCAAACTTAACAATGTATCATATTATCTTTGAACACATTCTGCACGTACACAATTCTGTAAATTTCAGCTGACTGACTTTAATTCAACTTCAAACATTAATGTACTGCCAGGTGGAATGGGTCCCTGCCTCTGGTTACCATACCTAGAAACAAGACGAACATGCTTTACATTTACAAATTTATAAACAATCCATACTTTACGTTGCATCATAATGTTTACTTTTTATGTGTACATATGTACCAAAAATCAGCAATCAATTGAAAAATGATTGACTGACAAACCTCATTTATTGTCTTGTCATCAATCTGGCTGTTGGTTTTCTTCCTGCATTGTTTCTAATTTTGTCATGTCAGGGCCTTTTATAACTGACCATACTGAACAAATGCTTTGATTGTAGTTGTAAGCCATACTGTGACCTATGCATCTAAGTTGACTCTGGTGGATTGATCTCTCATTGGCAATCATACCACATCTAATTGTTTTTATACTGAACAATACCCAATTTTTGATTCACTGAACTTTTGTCTTAGAAGTGGTAAATTATGTAAGACTATTCTGCAAGGATGATTGATCCAAGATGATTCTACTCAAATAGGATAAAATATATAATGTTATTTTTACATGACAAACTTGACAGTTTTGTCTTACCCTTGTTGAGATGGTATGACTAGTTTTCTCTTGCCTCCAACCTTCATTCCTGAAACAAAAATATGCATTCAAATCACAACTTATTTTTTCGCATTAAATCTGAATCGAAAACTTCATATGTAGAAATTCTAATCTTAGTGTGGATACTTGTAGGAACAGTGCTACAACAAAAAATTACATTGGATGTTGTGCAAAGTATAACTCACTCATTATTAGACATTTTTCCATATTGGTATTATTTTAAAAGGGTTTTCTCTATGGATTGGATTTTGAATAAAACAGCATATTCACTGTGCTTAGTGTCACATCCTTTTACATGTATAAGTATGGTAAAATGTTTTGATGCACAAATGGTTTAGGCAAATAATCAAATAATTTTTTATCTCTGAATCAAGGGTCCGGAAACGGTCATATTTGCCAGTCTTGTCATAAACTGAAAGTGTTTTTCCTAAACGAGTAATTGGGATTTAGGACAAATTTTGTTTTTTAACAGAAATAATTTCGGTCATTTCGTTGAGATCGAGTTTCTAAATCGCCATTTTGAACTTGTTTTTGTTTTGTTAACCCTTTCCTGTAATAAAACTGCCACTCCAGTATAGTGTTATAATCCTGAGGGCCCTCCTAATAACTATATTAATGCCTCGGGAAATATTGGCTAATGACAGTAATCTCTTTACCTGTGTTTTTAATTCACACCTGGCTATTGATCACAAGCTCAGAACTAATATTATAAAGAAATTAAAATTCCATAACAACTGTCTTCATGGTTTAATTACTTTTCAGCTAAGAAAATTGTCAATTCTGATTTAAAATTAAATTAAAACTTGATTTAATTTACGTAGAAAAAAGTATTTATTCACTACTAACACAAATGCTTTGTTTACTATGTAATATGCATGCTTGAAATTCTCTTCTGCAGATTGGACACTAAATCGTAAATTCAAAATGATTCCATTCTAAATAAAGCAAGTGCAACTATTATCATTAATATTCAAACACTATCAAAGGTAAAAAATTAAAAAGCCGATGATTTCCTGTGAATTTGATAAACAAAACTAATCCCAGAAATGAGTCCGGAATTGCTCGTTTTAGTATTGTCGCAAAACATCTGGTTTTAATTTTGTCTTCAAAATCGAAAGAAACGTAAGCGATGTCTGAGAAAGTTAACGTTTTGAGTCATTAAAATCATTTCATTTTTAAACTGTTGCCTTCCCTTAATTGCTCTTGAACGAAAATGGCAGGAAAATTCATGAAGTAAATGCAATGCAACATTTAAACAAGTTCGTTGATCATGATGCTACGAGTATGAGCATACTCAGTAATGTGATTTTGACAATCTTTTTTTGAAAAAGGGCACCAACTTTTAAGTTATCTCAAAATGACCGAAATTAGCTGAAAAATTTCCGGATCCTTGCTCTGAATATGGAATAAAATATTTACTGTCCTTTGTTTTGGTAAATATGTGGTTGAACTAACTTTTCAAAAACTAAATATTCACTTGGACGGTAAGCCTCAGTGAATATAATTTTTTTCAAAAGTCTATACAAGAGTGCACATGCTGAAATGTCTCGCCTGCTTTGCTACCATTGATTTAATGTTGATAGCCCTAGATATAAAGTTTTACTACAAGTATCTCATTAACTTATCATGATCCAAGAAAATGAGGTCAAGGTCAGATAAACCATGCCAGAAATACATGTACACCTTACAATCATTCCATACATTGAATATAGTTGCTTATAGTATACAGAAACAGACCAAAACATGAAAACTTTATATTGACAAATGAACCATGAATATGAGGTCAAGGTCAGATTAAACCTGTCAGACAGACATGTACACTTTACAATCATTCCATGGATGAAATATAGTTGATGTATCAAATATAGTATCTAAGAAACAAACTTAACCACGAAAACTTATCATTGACCAATGAACCATGAAAATTAGGTCAAGGTCAGATGATACCTGCCAGACAGACATATAAACATTACAATCATTCCTTACACCAAACGTAGTTGACCTATTGCTTATAGTTTAAGAAAAACAGACCAAAACACAAAAAACTTAACATTGAACAATGAACCGTGAAAATGAGATCAAGGTCAAATAGAATCTGTCAGACTGACATGTAAATCATAAAATATTTCCATACACCAAATATAGCTGTTCTATTGCATACAGTATTAGAAAAATAGACCAAAACACGAAAACTTAACTTTAACCAGCAACCCATGATAATGAGGTCAAGGTCAGATGACACCTGCCATGTGGACATGTACACCATACAATCATTCCATTCACCAAATATAGTAGACCTATTGCTTATAGTATCTGAGATATGGACTTGACCACGAAAACTTAACCTTGTTCACTGATCCATGAAATCAGGGTGTTGTCAAGTGAAAACTGTCTGATAGACACGAGGACTGTGCAAGGTATGCACATACCAAATATAGTTATCCTATAACTCATAACAAGAGAGAAATTAACATTACAAAAAATCTTAACTTTTTTCAAGTAGTCACTGAACTATGAAAATGAGGTCAAGGACAAAGGACATATGGCAGACAGAAACTTCATAACATAAGGCATCTATTGAAATTTATGAAGCATCCATATCTTCTACTTTCTGAAATATTAAGCTTTTAAGTAGTAAGTTAACGACGCCGTGGCCGCCGCATCACTATCCCTATATCGAGCTTTCTGTGACAGAAGTCGTAGGCTCGACAAAAACCACATATTTATCTCATCAAAAGACAGTAATTGTATAATATGCTATCATTTTATTATAAATTGTATATTTTTAAATGTAATCTACTATTCTTGAAATTTAAATGCAACAAGAATATTAAGGTAAATTTACATGAGATGTTAATCCAGCAAGTATGAGAATCTGCCTTTCATAACTTAACAGAGAAAATCAGTATGCAGCTAATTTTCCATGCTTCAGATACCTGATATATCTGCACTTTATCCTGTTATTTCCACTCATGATAAAAATATCTAACGAGTATGGGAGTACTTACCACTTACACCTATGTCCCAGCCTTTTATTACTTCTCCTTTACCATCATGATAAAAATGTCTAACGAGTATGGGCGTACTTACCACTTACACCTATGTCCCAGCCTTTTATTACTTCTCCTTTACCAAGTCTGAATCGGAAAGGTTTCCCCTGATTGCAGGAATCAAATTGTTTACCTGTCTTTTGAAGTTTTCCAGTGTAGTAAACATGTACCTAAAATGAACACAAATCAGACATTGACATAGTTAGGGTATATATGACTAAAACATTAGAGAAGCAGTTAGGTAAACATTTGTGTAAGTTAAAAACCACTTCATGACCATGAGCTAGCAGTCTGGTCTGGGAAGTTTTCGTTGTATGCATCCTCAACATTCAATTAAACCAGCAATCACAGTTCACCATGAATCTGTAACTACCATAACTATGAGTATTTATCTAGATGTTCATACTATTAAAGGGGATAGGATTCCAAAGATATCTAACATTGATTTCTTCTTAAAATTTTGACACCTAGTCAATTTTAATATGCACTAAGCAAAAAAGGCTGTACCTTCATGACTTATTTTTCAAGATATGTGAGTTTGATTTTGGAATGTTTCAGGCAGAATTACAAAATTTATACTTCCCAAATTTGCCAAATTATTAACAAAACTTTCAAAAGAATCCCCCCTCTCCCCTTTCCCTTTTTAAAGTCAAATATCTTCATGGGATATTTTTTAATAAAATACCCACACATAGGCATTCCTACCATATGTCATAATGTTGTACAAATCACTGTCCTTTATTGATGTTTATTAATGTCAGAAAAGTAACCAGTTTTAATGAGGCCCCTCATAGGGGTGTCCAAGTAATCACATAATCACAAATTTTATAATCATTAATTATCTTTTTAAACAAGATAATCAAATAATCAAAAATACAGTCCTAAATTATCAAATAATCAAATAATCATGAAATATTTGGTCTGGTAATCAAATAGTCACTATAAAATGGCCAAGTAAGGCCAACTAAAATTAATTAAGATTTTCATCCAGATTTTTGAAAAAAATGGGCGAGTGGGAGGATTTTGTTTTTTAATTTTTATTTCCTCCTAAACCCTTTTGTAACCTGTTGTTCATATACAAGTGTAATAATAAGCTTATATCATGTATGTATAAAGAATTCTACATTATTTTCAAATTCTAAAAATTAATATTTCTGATTGGCAAACACTGTTCTACATGTAATGGCTGCTTTAGAAACCTATTTTTAATAAATAGCAAAAAACGTGGAGAAATGTTCTCTTTTAGACTTCCTACATCAAATTTATTTTTCTTTTAAGCTATGATTTTTAGTGCCCATAAAATGAAGCATATGCATTGGTATGCAACACAAATATTATGAGTACAGAGTGAAATGAAAACTCAAACTGTATTGAAAATACTAGGGTTGATGCTTCGAAGATTCTTATGCAAGTTGCAAATATAATTACACACATGTAAAGCATGAACTGAACCAAAAAGAAGAAATTGTTTAATGACTCTATTAAGGGGATGGGGACAGAGGGTGTTTGCTGTTTGTCAACAAAAACGACAGCCTTGGGGTAAATCTAAGGGCTTGCTATAATACATATTGTACGTTAGCCGACTCTTTGTACTCAAAATACAGTCATAAATCGCACAAGTTCGTGCTTGTGTCAATTACTTTATTCCAGTCATGTTTTTGAAGCAGGTTTTTTGTACCAATGTGTTCCACGATTCTTGCGCTTTGGATATCATTCAGAGTCCAAATTTCCTGACACAAAGTCATTGTATAAATATCCACGGTCTTCTAATCACGGAAATTTGTGACATACTGCGAAAAGCGTTCTTGGACAATGCCTATTACTCGTAACCGAATATTTCATGCCCTTCTAGTAATCAGTCTATATTCTCAGAAGAAAATGTTGTCATCATTGAGCAGCAGAATATGTCGACTTCATCATTTTGGTTATATTACTCGAAGAAATACGAAAACCAAAATTTGAAACAGGAAGGTTTGAATGAAACGAAATTATCGGCGGTTACCAGTAACAGAAATAAACAAAATCCGGAAATTTTAATTTTGTAAAAATAAAAAAAATCAGGCGGGACGATTTCAGAGGGGCGGGCGGGGATGAAAATCTATCAATTAATTTTAATTGGCCTAATCACGTAATCAAAAACCCCATGAGGAGGCTCTTTAATTTGCCTCAAGCTTTATGCCCCTTTATAGATTTTATGTGCTTCCATAACCAGTATGTCCATATTGTATTTGCAACTGCTTTTAACTTAACAAAACTGATTTGATGATGACAGTGTATTTTCTGCCATATGTTTTGCCTTTTACAGTATTGGCAAAGTCATGAAAACGACATGTTAATTTTGAATGTGTTATCATCTCCTCCTGCTTCCTAACAAGATGATGTCATACGTATCTTGCCTTCTTCCATTACAATACTCACCATTTTACCAGATTGGGCCACTGGACCATGTCCTACTTTTAACTCTTCACAGACAATCCCTCCTGCCAATACTTGTTTTTTGGACTGTTGTTGTTTGTTAGGTGTTTCTGTAGAATTTGTCTAAAACAAAGCAAAAATGTAACAGTTAATAGATTTACGTACAAACAAAGGTTAAAGTTAAATCACAGACATAAACACACCAAGGATAAGGTCACATGACTGATTGCTGACGTTCTTCCACTTATAAGTATAAACCTGCTTATACATATAAAAATAAAGAACAGGGACTCTTGTCACATAAAATCTATGAGAAAAAGTACTTGTAAATCATGAACTTTTCAGTATAACTTTCCTTCAATTTCAATCCTAAGATTTTTTGTGAAAAGAGTCAGTTTTGGAACAGAATCAAGTGTAGGATGGCATGATTTATTATCAGCAGGTTAAGAAATCTAAACTTGCAATCCCTTACTATGAGCATTCTGTAATAAAATATAATTTGTTATCTATTTTACAGTTATTCTAGTCATGTGCTCTTCCTGTACTAGACTAAATCATATATTCTTTTAATGCACATTTTGTTCATCTACTGATCTAGATTTTAAAACAAGGAATTATTTGAATCTGGAATAATTTTGAATTCTGGAAAATTGATGAGAAATATATGATGAAAACTAACCCAACTAAATAGGGTTAGCCATGCGCGCATGGCTAAGGTGGGTTAGTTAGTTCATACTGAAATAATAGTGAAAGTAAAATTAACCTTAGCCATGCACGCATGGCTAACCCTATTTAGTTGGGTTAGTTTTCATCATACATTTCTAATCAATTTTCCAGAATTCAAAATTATTCCAGATTCAAATAATTCCTTGTTTTAACAAGACCGATACCGGGTCTGGACCTGTATCGCTGCATGCAATTGCTTGTGGTAACATGTGTACTGATGCATAACTGATGAAGATGATTTTTAAAACTATGTTCAATTACTTGAATAAAGTACTTTCATTGATGTAGTTTTAAGGTACAGTAAGTGTTATCTATTGGTAAACAGGAAGTAGCTCCATGGCAGAATAAAATCAAAGAGCTGATTGATCTGAGGTGGAAGAAGATGCATAAAAGGTAACTTGAATTACAATAAAAGCAGCCCCCACCAACCCAGCCAGCGTTGTCCCATTATTGCTTTCGACGTATTTTTTTTCTTCCAAAAATAATAATACTCATAACTCAACCAAAACTCACTATACTTAACATAAAAATCTGCAAATACTGTTGATTCAAATTAAATTTTCTATAACTAAATTCCATACATTCGTCTCAGCATGGTCAACTTGATGAAATGCAATTTCGCCAAGCAATTATAACAGTAATTGATTTGGTTTTACTTGAAAGTTTTCTGTCAAAGGCAGATAGTTAACTTTAAAAAAAACTGGCCACCAAGATTTTAGTCAACTTTGCTTAAACTAGGGTTTTTCATTATAAACATATATTGAAAAATTCTAAATATATCCAATGCAGATATGTGTCAGGCCAAGGATTGACTGGTCATGTCAGGTGATGACCTTGCTATGTTATAGCGATAATTTAGAGTCAAGCGCACACGTGAATCTGCTGGTGTTTTACACATCAAACGATGCACCGTCAGTTGACAGAATCACATGTGCGCTTGACTCTTTTAGCATTTCAAACCCGTTCATTTAAAGTGCTTGACCCATATATATCATATTTGTTTTTCCTCTAATATTTTTACACAAAAGTATGAGGGTAGGAATGGCATTTTCTGTCAGGAGTCACACAGCCTTTTCCTGAAATTTTTTATGAAAATAAAACTATTGACAGCAACGAATTACTGGTTCCGTACTCGAGCCTCGATAATGTGTGTACCTTAATGACGAATAACAGTAAAGAGCTGGACTATTTGTTAAATCCCGTTTTTTATCAATTCTAAAACTTTGAAACGTATTAAGGCAATAAAGGCAATCATTGGGGACATTCCGACAATGACCGACATGAAAACTACGTACTTTCGAAATGGAATCCGTCAACAGACATTAGTTTGTACATTGATATTTCTGTCAACAGTCGGTGTATCGTTTGATGTGTAAAACACCAGCAGATTCACGTGTGCGATTGACTCTTTATTATCGCAATAACATACTTAAATATTCTAACTTTCGTTTTAAAAAACACATATTATCTAAAACTGGAATATGACTTAATTGATTGCATTAAAGATCTGAACACAGACGGAACAACTAAATCCGTGTATTTTTTCAAGCATCATTGATTTGAAGTCGTACTCTCCACGTATATACTTGACTTTAACTCAAGATGGATTGTATGAATATATGACAATTCTATTTATCATTATTTTGAAACTTTCATATGCACAATTAAATTTGCCATTTGTGCACATGCACAGATACGTAACCAACATGGTTCTGAATTTCGAGAACTTATACCATATAAATATCCGAATAAGTTTATTAAACTTTAATACCCATAATATTATTATTTTTTAATAATTGCAAAGACATATAAAACGTCCTTGATAAAAGCAGTCAATATAATACTTCCACGATAAAAGTAAGGAGAAGGAACCCAGGGTGAATGTACTCTATGGGGACGAACTCAGGGCGAACGGACCAAGGGCGAACATGTAATCAGGGAGAACCGACCCAATACCAAATTCACGCATGCATACTACAAACTCTACTTTAAAGACATCCGGTTACAAGTAAATAAATAACGTTCATGTAAGATGAGATGAAATCTAATAATTTACATAAATAAAAGGGTTGATATTTATACATTAAAACATGAGAAATTATAACATTAACGATAGTGATCGTTTTTCGAGCCTAACTAATAAATTAAATGATGCAGATTAGATCATGTGTAAACATCGGTGTCAAGATATGGCACGGAAGTTGTTATGAAATTGTAAAGCACAGAAAGGGATACGGCATACGTCCTGGTGAAGGTTCAATGATTTTACAGCCGGCAGTAAAGGCTTTCAGAAGACTTGAAGTCTTCTTCCACCATAAATGATTACATGCTTCATCTCAAAATTATCAAACTGCAGACAAAATATAAAATCATTCACTTTCATAGAAGCCAAGAAAACTTAGATAAAAGTTTTGTAATCTAGGTCTTTCAGAGGGAACAGAGTCGAGCAGTTAGTAGACCTGCCTCCACCATTGGCAACACAGGTAAAAAAAGGGGGAATATTGAGACCTCAATTTAACAAGTTTAACCACCCCACCTATGCATGTGCCTGTCGCTAGTCAGGAGCCTATACAGTAGTTGTCATATATACAATATCTTAATGTTTTATTATCTCATACAAATGGCTGTTGATGAATGTCTGCACAAACGGATACTCTCTAAAGGAGAACAGTTAAAATATAATTTCCACACATTTTTAAATCAGGGTTAATAAATGGAATTGGTCTTTGAGAGACTTTGAAATGTACTCAAGTTAACCTATCAATCTAGTTTGACACATCTGAGTTAAAAATGCTTTTAATTGAACAAATGGAACTTTCACAAGGACTGAAAAAATAGACTTTAACAGAGTTTTGGACACAACAGATAGAAAGTTTATTACTTTATAATTTTAGAAGAAAAAGTGCATTTCTGACATGAGTTACATATTTCCATTCTGTAGATAACTATGTTGTCAAATTGCTTAATGTTTGATTTTTAAAATTCTAAATGCTAAATAGATCAATGACCTGCCTGTATAAGTATACTGGTACATAATAAACAACTCTAAATTGAAAACAACGTTCAAACCTATGATTGTGTTGGATAAAAACCACAATTTTTATATGTGTGCATGCAAAACAAATTTCTTGGTAGAGGGGTCTAAATACAGCACAAACAACATTTTCCAAAAGATCAAAAAAGTGAAAAAGTATATTTTAACAAAACGCATTTGACTAGCAGGTCGAACAACGGGTGTTCTTAAACCCTGCTGACTGCCATTGGCGATTGCCAAATAAACGGATCACAGATACATTAATGTGAATGAGGCTAATTCTTTCCAATAGGAATTTTCAGCTAATTAAATACATGTATATAAGGAGCATATTACAGTCACCTGTACTTGTGACTGACATATAAAGCTGAAATCAGACAAATGTTATATACATGTTTAAATTGATTTAGCAATCTCTGTTAACAATTTACCTACCCTTAGCTTTGTACCCTTTATATGTAAAGAAAATAGACACAACTATCTGACCATGTTTATTTTGTGCAATACAAAAAATAAATTAACCTGTTCATCTCCCTCTTTGTTCTTATTTTTCTTTTTCTTCTTCTTCTTCTTCTTTTTTTTCCCTTCTCCTTCTTGTGAATCATTTTCTGTTTGCTTTGGCTGAAAAAATAAAAAATATTTTTGAAATAAAATGCTCCGCAGGGCGCAGCTTGATACGACCGCAGAGGTCGAACCCTGAACAGTTGGGGCAAGTATGGACACAACATTCAAGCTTGATACAGCTCTGAATTTGGATTGTGATTAAATATTTGACACAGCATAGGTTTCTGACACAGAATGAATGTGGTCTAAGAACTTAAAAATTTTAAATTGGACATTCACCTATTATGGTCCAATATCCAAAATCTAAATACATGGTTAGATTCAGCATATCAAAGAACCCCAAGAATTCAATTTTTGATGAAATCAAACAAAGTTTAATTTTGGACCCTTTTGACCTCAATGTGGACAAAGTTGATAACGGGGCCCAAAAATCAAAAATCTAAATACATGGTTAGATTCAGCATATCAAAGAACCCCATATATCCAATTTTTGTTGAAATCAAACAAAGTTTAATTTTGGACCCCGATTTGGACCAACTAGAAAACTGGGCCCATAATCAAAAATCTAAATACATGTTTAGATTCAGCATATCAAAGAACCCTAAAAATTCAATTTTTGTTAAAATCAAACTAAGTTTAATTTTGGACCCTTTGGACCTTAATGTAGACCAATTTGAAAACGGAACCAAAAATTAAGAATCTAAATACACGGTTAGATTCGGCATATCAAAGAACCCCAATAATTCAATTTTTGATGAAATCAAACAAAGTTAAATTTTGGACCCTTTGGACCTCAATGTGGACCAATTAAAAAACGGGTCCCAAAATCCAAAAACTTAATACACAGTTAGATTCAGCATATTAAAGAACCCCAAGAATTCAAGAATAAAACCCCATTGAAATTGATCAAGAAATAAGCAATTTATACGAAGTATCTTCTTTTGCACAATACTGTGCAATTGAATATTTCTTGCTATTGCGCAATACTGTACAATTGACAATTTCTTGCTATTGCGCAATATTGTGCTATTGGATATTTCTTGCTATTGCGCAATACTGTGCAATTGAAGATTTCTTGCTATTGCGCAATACTGTGCAATTGAAGATTTCTTGCTATTGTGCAATACTGTGCAATTGAAAATTTCTTGCTATTGCACAATACTTATTATATAATAATTTACACATCCTGTTTGGTGTGTATCTTCTACCATATCATTATTATTTGCTTTTAAATATAAATCAGAAATAACCAACTTAAAATTGAAAATTTTAAAAGAAAAAAAAAAGGAAAAAAAGAAAAGAAAAGAAATCCCCCCCCCCAAATTTTTTGCTTATTGCTTATTTTTGGCCCCTTTTTGGCCCCCAATTCCTAAACGTTTCGGGCAATTACCCCCAAACTCAATTCCAGATTTCCCTTTGTGATATGGAACCTTGTAGTACAATTTCAGAAATATCACAACACTTACACACAAGTTATTGTCATGAAACAAGAAAAATGCTTGTTTTTTGCCCCTTTTTTGGCCCCTTATTCCTAAAATTTTGAGGCAATTACCCCCAAAATCAATTACAGCCTTCCCTTTGTGATATGGAACCTTGTGGTACAATGTCAGAGAGATCCATACACTTACACACAAGTTATTGTCTGGAAGTTACAAAAATGCTTATTTTTGGCCCCTAATTCCTTAACTGTTGGTACCATAACCCCCAAAATCAATCCCAACCTTCCTTTCGTGGTATTGAACCTTATGGTAAAATTTCATGGAGATCCATTCACTTAAACTAAAGTTAGAGTGCGAAAACCAATGTGTCTTCGGACGACGACGACGCCAACGTCATACCAATATACGACCAAAAAATTTTTAATTTTTGCGGTTGTATAAAAACTAAGCTTAATAAAATGCTTCGCTGGGGCGCAGCTTGATACGACCGCAGAGGTCGAACCCTGAACAGTTGGGGCAAGTATGGACACAACATTCAAGCTTGATACAGCTCTGAATTTGGATTGTTATTAAATATTTGACACAGCACAGGTTTCTGACACAGAAAGAATGTGGTCCAAGAACTTGAATTTTTTTAATTCACCTATTATGGTCCAATGTCTCAAATCAAAATACATGGTTAGATTCAGCATATCAAAGAACCCCATATATTCAATTTTTGTTAAAATCAAACAAAGTTTAATTTTGGACCCCAACTTGGACAAACTTGAAAACTGGGCCCATAATCAAAAATCTAAACACATGTTTAGATTCAGCATATCAAAGAACCCCAAGAATTCAATTTTTGATAAAATCAAACTAAGTTTAATTTTGGACCCTTTGGACCTTAATGTAGACCAATTTAAAAAACGGGACTTAATATTAAAAATCTAAATACACGATTAGATTTGGAATATCAAAGAACCCCAATAATTCAATTTTTGATGAAATCAAACAAAGTTTAATTTTGGACCCTTTTGACCTCAATATGAACCAATTTGATAGCGGGGCCCACAAATAAAAAATCTAAATTCATGGTTAGATTCAGCATATCAAAGAACCCAATATATTCAATTTTTGTTGAAATCAAAAAAAGTTTAATTTTGGACCCCAACTTGGACCAACTTGAAAACTGGGCCCATAATCAAAATTCTAAACACATGTTTAGATTCAGCATATCAAAGAACCCCAAGAATTCAATATTTTGTTAAAATCAAACTAAGTTTAATTTTGGACCCTATGGACCTCAATGAAGACCAATTTAAAAAACGGGACCCAAATTAAAAATCTAAAAACACGGTTAGATTTGGCATATCAAAGAACCCCAATAATTCAATTTTTGATGAAATCAAACAAAGTTTAATTTTGGACCTTTTTGACCTCAATATGAACCAATTTGATAGCGGGCGCCCACAAATAAAAAATCTAAATACATGGTTAGATTCAGCATATCAAAGAACCACATATATTCAATTTTTGTTGAAATCAAACAAAGTTTAATTTTGGACCCCAACTTGGACCAACTTGAAAACTGGGCCCATAATCAAAAATCTAAATACATGTTTAGATTCAGCATATCAAAGAACCCCAATAATTCAATTTTAGATGAAATCAAACAAAGTTTAATTTTGGACCCTTTTGACCTCAATATGAACCAATTTGATAACGGGGTCCACAAATAAAAAATCTAAATACATGGTTAGATTCAGCATATCAAAGAACCCCATATATTCAATTTTTGTTGAAATCAAACAAAGTTTAATTTTGGACCCCAATTTGGACAAACTTGAAAACTGGGCCAAAAATCAAAAATCTAAATACATGTTTAGATTCAGCATATCAAAGAACCCCAAGAATTCAATTTTTGTTAAAATCAAACTAAGTTTAATTTTGGACCCTTTGGACCTTAATGTAGACCAATTCAAAAAACAGGACCCAAAATTAAAAATCTAAATACACGGTTAGATTTGGAATATCAAAGAACCCCAATAATTCAATTTTAGATGAAATCAAACAAAGTTTAATTTTGGACCCTTTTGACCTCAATATGAACCAATTTGATAGCGGGGTCCACAAATAAAAAATCTAAATACATGGTTAGATTCAGCATATCAAAGAACCCCATATATTCAATTTTTGTTGAAATCAAACAAAGTTTAATTTTGGACCCCAATTTGGACTAACTTGAAAACTGGGCCAAAAATCAAAAATCTAAATACATGTTTAGATTCAGCATATCAAAGAACCTCATATATTCAATTTTTGCTAAAATCAAACAAAGTTTAATTTTGGACCCTTTGGACCTTAATGTAGACCAATTTGAAAACTGGACCCAAAATTAAAAATCTAAATACACTGTTAGATTCGGCATAACAAATAAATAAATGTGATCAAAGATTTTACAAATCTAATGTGCCATACTGTGCAATTAAAGATTACTTCTTGAAATTTTTCAATATTTGAAATTTGAAAAAAAAAAAATATTTGAAGAATTCTTTTTAATTTCTGAAATCTGAAATGAGAAAAAATTGACCCCCCACAATTTCTTTTTATCCCCCCCCCCCCTTTTTTCCCCCAAAAATTTCTTTCCCTCAAGTTATGGTCATAACCTCAATTCAAATTTCCAATGGAGTTGGCAACCATAATTACCCATTTAAATTTACCATAGTGCTATCTTAATCTATTTTATAATAGAATTAAAAATATAGTGTCAAATCTTTCATATGGATTTTTTTGTAAAAAAAAATGATGCAACATTTGCAGATATTTTTACTGGTCTTCCTTTATAAATATGCATTTCTTTAAACATAATTTAAAAGCAGTGTAAGGGAAGTAACCAAAACGTTGTATTTGGATTACCTCCCTTACACTGTTTTAAATTATCTTTATTGTTCATTAACCATTACTTTTATACATAATCTAAAAGCAGTGTAAGGGAGATAATTTCAATGATGTATTTGATTTATCTCCCTTACACTGCTTTAAATTATGTTTTGTACTAAAGTATTTGTCCATTAACCAGGACAACCTTGTTTTTCCCCCTTTTTTGCCCCTAATTCCTAAACGGTTTGAGCCATAACCCCCCAAAGCAAATCCTAACCATCCCTTTGTGGTATGGAAACTTGTAGTATAATTTCAGAGAGATCCATACACGGTTCCACAGTTATTGTCTGGAAATTAGAAAATGCTTATTTTTGGCCCCTTTTTGGCCCCTAATTCCTTAACTGTTGGTACCATAACCCCCAAAATCAATCCCAACCTTCCTTTTGTGGTATTTAATCTTATGGTCAAATTTCAAAAAGATCCATTCACTTAAACTAAAGTTAGAGTGCGAAAACCAATGTGTATTCGGACGACGACGCCGGACGACGATGACGACGACGACGACGACGACGACGCCAACGTCATACCAATATACGACCACAAAATTTTTTTGCGGTCGTATAAAAATACATACTCATTAAAAATTGCATATTTTGGCTTTAATATTAATTCACTTATAGGGTCTTTGCATCGGAATTAAACACATTTATTCTAAAACCAGTTGTTGGCATGACACGGGTTATGTTCTTCTCATATATTTTATGACTGTATAATACTAAACCCCTAACAGGAGGGATTGTGCCTTATATTCATATGATGAAGACATAATCTTTTAATCAGTTTAATTGAGGTCTGGAGCTGGCATGTCAGTAACTGCTAGTAGTCTGTTGTTATTTATGTATTATTGTCATTATGTTTATTTTCTTTTGTTTCCTATTCTGACATTGGACTCGGACTTCTCTTATACTGAGTTTTACTGTACGTACTGTTGTGCGTTTGTTTTTTCTACATTGGCTAGAGGTATAGGGGGAGGATTGAGATCTCAAAAAACATGTTTAACCCCGCCGCATTTTTGCGCCTGTCCCAAGTCAGGAGCCTCTGACCTTTGTTAGTCTTGTATCATTTTTAATTTTAGTTTCCTGTGTATAATTTGGAGTTTAGTATGACGTCCATTATCACTGAACTAGTATACATATTTGTTTAGGGGCCAGCTGAAGGACGCCTTCGGGTGCGAGAGTTTCTCGCTGCATTGAAGACACATTGGTGGCCTTCGGCTGTTGTCTGCTCTATGGTCGGGTTGTTGTCTCTTTGACACATTCCCCATTTCCATTCTCAATTTTACTGAATATAGTATCCAGTAAAGTTAGCATGCTGTTACATCCACTTCATTTGAACTCTGCTGGATAGTTGTCTCATTGGCAATCATACCACATCTCCTTATTTTTAAACCGTCTTTTGGTATGTATAGTGCACACATTTATACCCTGGGTCATGTTTCTTGTAAGAGGGGTGCGCGTTATACATGCCTACAGACATTTTCTTAGTCTTTTTTCAGGTCCAAACTCCGACAAAGAAATTTTCAGGAGAAGTGAAGAGTACGGAATATTTTTGCTAAAACCTCGATTGTTTTTATGTTTTACATGTTATATTTGTAATATGTATCTTATTGTTCTTGATTTGTCATGTTTTATTCAAGTAAATTACATTTTATATCTCTGAAGTTACGTTTATCGTGTAAATTTGTTCATCTGTTTGCAATCCGGAAATTTGCCATGTCTTAATAAAGACACAATAAAGCTTTTGTTGTCAATTAAATTAGTCTCTGTGTTCCTTGTTGTCATAGCTTACTGTTTTTGTATGTGTTCATCATGGAGAGTAGAAGAAAAATGTATGAAAATTGAATAAACCACACTCATTTTGAAAAGATAAACCACCATTTTTTCTATAATGTATCAGGTGATTGCCAGTCATGTGGGTCAGTCATGTGACTTGATATTGTAAAGTGATGATTTAGTCTATGAGAAGTTTGTATTTTATAAATACGTTTCTACTTTGTAACTTTTAAACAACTGTTTAAAACCGTTCAAGAAATTATGATTGAAAACATGATTATCCCATAATTGTAACCTGAACGAATTTAATTAGGAGCAAGGTGAACCTGTCACTGATTTGTTTTGACATCGATTAGACCTGTTGATTGAGGTGTGATAATTCCGGATTAACAGCTAGAATCAACAAACAAAAAATAAAAATAATGAGATTTTAACAATTTATTACAGCACTAATGATGTTAATGATAATCATTTGACTGATTCGTAATTATGTTATTGTTTCAATCAGAACATTAATTTGGATATTTAATGAGGATGGTAAAGGGTTATTTTTGTGCAACATGTTTTGCCAAAGGTTTGTTATTCACCGTGTTTCGTGAAATCGGTAAAAAGATCAACGTGCAAGAAATTTTTAATTGTTCGTTCATCGTGAAATGGCAATCTTATTTCACGTTCTTCCATGCAGATACCCCCCTTTACGCCCCTCTTTAATCTTGTCCTTGATACTCAAACAATTTATTAAATTTGGTTTAAAAAAAAACAAACTTAAATGTAGATTTATCTCAATCTAATAAAATTCTTATTCATTTGTCAGAATATTTGCAATTTCATTTTAATTACGTATTTCGTACGGAATTCTCCGACATTGGTGTCCATTTAAAAACTTCTGGTTTACCGATAGACTTCCTATTTGCCGATTTTGGAGCTGTAACTTTTCCGAAAATGTCTTTGAGTCTTATACGAACAATAAACTTTTTTTCTCACGTTTCTTGGACCATAAAGGGGCGCACTATACACAAATGCACACTATACACCCCAAAAGACGGTATGCTATGTCTGGTGGTGATTACAGAATTTAACCTTTCATTAGAAAATCAAAAAATTACCATATAAACCAACACAATACTAGCAAGCTGTGTTCTAACTTTGCTCTTTGACCCTGAAAAGTAATACTGATTAGGTATGTAAAATTTGAGGAGGCAGACCCTTTTCAATAAGTATGAGCTGATTTGATTTGTAGGTGTAATAGATGGATGAGCAGTTATCAGATGTTGTTCAATTTATGATACTATCAATATGTAAAAAATGTCCCTGTTGAATGCAGTGTATGCTTTGAAATCATATTAAAATAAAACATCATAGTGTAGTATCCAATCATGATGATTTCTGAATATATTTATAAGATAAAATTGAGAATGGAAATGGGGAATGTGTCAAAGAGACAACAACCCGACCATAGAGCAGACAACAGCCGAAGGCCACCAATGGGTCTTCAATGCAGCGAGAAACTCTCGCACCCGGAGGCGTCCTTCAGCTGGCCCCTAAACAAATATGTATACTAGTTCAGTGATAATGTACGTCATACTAAACTCCAAATTATACACAAGAAACTAAAATTAAAAATGATACAAGACTAACAAAGGCCAGAGGCTCCTGACTTGGGACAGGCGCAAAATGCGGCGGGGTTAAACATGTTTTTTGAGATCTCAACCCTCCCCTATACCTCTAGCCAATGTAGAAAAAACAAACGTACAACAGTACGCACAGTAAACCTCAGTTTAAGAGAAGTCAGAGTCCGATGTCAGAATAGGAAACAAAAGAAAATAAACAAAATGACAATAATACATAAATAACAACAGACTACTAGCAGTTATTGACATGCCAGCTCCAGACCTCAATTAAACTGATTGAAAGATTATGTCTTCATCATATGAATATCAGGCACAATCCCTCCTGTTAGGGGTTTAGTATTATACCATCATAAAATATATGAGAAGAACATAACCCGTGTCATGCCAACAACTGGTTTTAGAATAAATATGTTTAATTCCGATGCAAAGACCCTATAAGTGAATCAATATTAAAGCCAAAATATGCAATTTTTAATGACCTGACAACAGTATCGTAACTATATCCCTTCTTAATAAGTCTGTTTAAAGGTTTTGTTAGCTTTTGAGGTGAATACTGACATTTTTGTGCTTTGTAAAGAATATTACCATAAAAGATTGGATGTGAAATACCCGAACGTATAAGATGTCTGCATGTTGAGTTATATTTACGAATGATGTCCTTATACCGATGATAAAATTTAGTAAATGTTTTGACTAGTTTATGATATCGAAAACCCTGGTGTAATAATTTTTCAGTAATACATAAATTTCTCTCGCTTAAATCTAATACGTGGTTACATACACGAGCGAATCATACAAGTTGAGATATATAAACACCATAAGATGGTGACAAGGGAACGTCACCATCTAAAAATGGATAATTAACGATAGGAAATGAAAAATCATCTCTTTTATCATAAATTTTATGATATCAAGATCGAGGAAAGGACAGTGGTCATTGTTAGTATTAGCTTTATTTAAAGTAAGTTCAACAGGATATATTTCTTTAGTATACATACTGAAGTTGTCATTATTGAGAGCCAATATATCATCCAAATATCTAAAAGTATTGTTAAATTTTTGTATCAGATGTTGTTTCGATGGGTCTTTGCTGATTTTAGTCATAAATTGTAACTCATAACAATACAAAAACAGGTCCGCAATAAGTGGTGCACAGTTAGTCCCCATTGGAATTCCAATAACTTGACGATATACGGAATCTCCAAAGCGAACAAAAATGTTATCAAGTAAAAATTCAAGGGCAGATTTGGTATCAAAGCATGTCCAATTGACATAGCTCTTTTGTTTGTTGCTACTAAAAAATGACCTAAAAGAGTTTGAACATATGTAATTTACTTAATTTTACAATCCATTATCTACTCATTCAACTCATTTATACTCACAGTTTGAGTAACCTGTTTTACTTGGTTCGTTTTCTGAGGTGCGTCTTTTTGTTTTTTCTTCTGAGGTTTTTGTTTTTTCTTTAGTTTCAATATTTCATCATCGTCTTCATCTTCTTCCTCCTCATCTGAAAAATATTTAAAATCTTTATAATACAGAACCTAAAATACAAAATATGAATAACATGAGATGTGGGGTTAACATCAATAGGACACACCCAAATGACACTACTAACCAAAAGACACCCAGAGGTAAAAAGTGATTTTGTATTCAGAGAAAAGACAAAATCGGGGTCAAAACCCTAATTTGGTATATAACTGTTAAATTTCACATCATAATGAACAAGTGTACTAAGTTTCAAGTTGATGTGACCTAACGTGTCAGGGCCTTTTACAGCCTTCTGACCGGTATGGGTTTTTCTCCTTGTTGAAGGCCGTACAGCCTATAATTGCTTACATCCACTTCATTTGAACTTTGGTGGATAGTTGTGTCATTGGCAATCAAACCACATCTCCTTATTTTTATATTCATAGTTAAGTACCATAACAAAAAACTTTAACCTGAAATGGGACCGACTGATAATGTAAAAATTCTGTCCCTGAAGAATAACTGAGGGTCAGAGCCTACTAAACTGGTTGTAAGTGAGTGTATGAATGCAACAAAATACCTAATTACAATGGTCAGCTGTAGGTACTCCTTGATAACCATATCTTATCTTGAAAAATAAATAAATAAAGGTCATTGAAGCAGGGCAAAGCCTTATGTTTTTTCAGTGACTGATATGCATGGTGTCTAATGCAACAGTATAGCAAATATCAAAGGTTTATCAGAAGGACTTCTTATTAAACACACTAAGAAACAACCTTAATATATGAACAAAGACAAAAAATTTGAAACCACAATGACATACCTCTTATTGGCGTAGTATGCTTATATATTTGTTTTAAACATAAATCAGGCCGTTGGTTTTTACTTTTGAATTGACTTACATGTTGTCAAGCCAGGACTTTTTACTGTACAATGTTCCAGCTAAGATTTCAAAAGGGCAGGGAGCCAATCATGAAAAGGGCACTTTAGCACGATGATTGATATTTCAAAAAGGGCATGTCAAATATTGTCTTATGTTAACTGCAGGGGTGTCAGCTATGAGTTTTGAGGGGGTTTAGTCACTTTTACGCTAGATGAAAAGCAACCTTATTTTGGGTAACAGTATTAAAGGGATCATGCAAGGACGTATATTACTAGCTCAGTCTTCCCTAGAACATTTTTGATGCATGGTAGGTCTAAGGTTAAGTTGCAATGCAGAGCGCAGTGGCGTTTTGTAGAATTATTTTTATTTCATTAGTGAAATGAATTGTGCATATCAGTTAAAATACTACACTAGATCTGCAATACAGTCAGGAACAATACCTTACATTTTCTCCAGGGGCCAACCTGGATCCCAAAAACTTTTTTCCAAGGGCCCAGTAGAAATTTTAAGGCCCTACCAGGGTATTTTTACTACAGGACTGAGGTACATACTTATTAATAGTCTTGAATGTTCTTATAAAGGCAATAATATATGTTTGAAATGCCTAATACATGTAGCCCAGTGCTTTTGATTATGATAGAATTAAATAAAATGCTCCGCTGGGGCGCAGCTTGACACGACCGCAGAGGTCGAAACCCTGAACAGTTGGGGCAAGTATGGACACAACATTCAAGCTTGATACAGCACTGAATTTGGATTGTAATTAAATATTTGACACAGCAAAGGTTTCTGACACAGAATGAAAGAACTTAAAAAATATTAATTTACCTATTCAAACCATATCATTATTATTTGCTTTTATATATAAATCAGAAATAACCAATTTAAAATGGAAAATTTTAAAGAAAAAAAAGGGAAAAAAAATCCCTCCCTCCCAAATTTTTTGAACCCCCTTATGATTCATCACCCCCAAACTCAATCCCAGCCTTCCCTTTGTGGTATGGTACCTTGCAGTACAATTTCAGAGAGATCCATACACTTGAACACAAGTTATTGTCTGGAAACTAGAAAAATGCTTGTTTTTTGGCCCCTTTTTGGCCCCAAATTCCTAAACGTTTAGGGCAATTACCCCCAAACTCAAACCCAGCTTTCCATTTGTGATATTGAACCTTGCAGTACAATTTCATAAAGATCCATACACTTACACACAAGTTATTGTCCTGAAACTAGAAAAATGCTTGTTTTTTTGCCCTTTAATGGCCCCTTATTCTTAAAATTTTGAGGGAATTACCCCAAAATCAATCCCAGCCTTCCCTTTGTGGTATGGTACCTTGCAGTACAATTTCAGAGAGATCCATACACATGAACACAAGTTATTGTCTGGAAACTAGAAAAATGCTTATTTTTGGCCCCTTTTTGACCCCTTATTCCTAAACTTTTTTGGCAATTACCCCCAAACTCAATTCCAGCTTTCCCTTTGTGATATGGAACCTTGAAGTACAATTTCATAAAGATCCATACACTTACACACAAGTTATTATCATGAAACTAGAAAAATGCTTGTTTTTTGCCCCTAATTCCTAAAAGGAGTAGGCCCAGTAAGACCCCTTTTTGGCCCCAAAATATAGTAGTTTTACAAAATTGTTAAAATATAAATTTTTGGCTATTTATTGGAAAGAAGAATACTTCTGTAACATAAGTACGGGCGTTTTTTGACAATACAATGCACATGTATCGGGTACTAGCATCATTCAGTCATGCTAAATTACTGAAATCTTCGAAATTTAAGCATTTTGGTTAATTTTTAGACGGTTTCCGTCTGAAATGGAAGTGGCCGCATTTGTGTTCATTCTTAATATTTAAATGTAAGTTGTATTTGATGATAATACATAACATATATAAAGGTTGAGAATGAACACGGATGCGGCCACTTTCATTTTTGACAAAAAAACATCTGAAAAGTGACATTTTATGGCATATTTGATAGATTTTTCATATTTAAGCTTGAATTTGAGCGTCTTTAATGACTAAATCAGTTCAAATCTTTCACATAAACTGATTGAATCGACTGAAGTAGACACTTAAGTGTTTAAAAAGTGTCCAATATCTTTCATCAGATGAACTTGAATTTTGAGGCCAAAATCGGCCCTTACCGGACCTACTCCTTTGGAGGCAATTACCCCCAAAATCAATCCCAGCATTCCCTTTGTGATATGGAACCTTGTGATACAATGTCAGAGAGATCCATACACTTACACACAAGTTATGTCTGGAAGTTACAAAAATGCTTATTTTTGGCCCCTAATTCCTTAACTGTTGGTACCATAACCCCCAAAATCAATCCCCACCTTCCTTTTGTGGTATTGAACCTTATTATAAAATTCCATAGAGATCCATTCACTTAAACTAAAGTTAGAGTGCGAAAACTAACGTGTCTTCGGACGACGACGCCAACGTCATACCAATATAGGACCACAAAATTTTTTTTGTGGTCGTATAAAAATGAATTATAATAAACCACATTGAGTTTTTCAGAATTAAAATCCATTTAACCATGTCTTTTCAGACTGTTAATACTTATATTTGTAATATTATATATAAAAAATATATAAAAAATCTCCCCCCCCCCCCCTTTTCCATTTTACACACCAATACATGTAGAGTATCAAAGTATTATCAGTTTCACCCCAAGAAAGTATTCATTTTTAATGAAATAATCTTAGCAGTTAATCAAAATGAAAATCTTACTATCTATAAATAACAATGAGATGTAACTGTTTCTTGTTAAAGTGGTTTTCGAATTTTCCCGCCAAAAATGCACATGTCTTTCAACAAATGTAAACAAAGCAGTCAATTTGTGATCATGGATTACAGCTTTAATTAATTTAATTTGGATATAGATATTCAATGAAAGGTAAAGTCAAGCATTGTTTTTATACTTTCTTCTGGATTAAAACTAATTTAAAAGATCAATTTTATAAAAAAAAAAATCTTTGACATAACAACCGACGATCTACGGATACATCAAACGCAAATTGTCATCTTTTGAGAAATATTGAAATTGAAATGCTGACTGACCGAATTTAATGAGAAAAATGATTACAATGGTCAATTATAAAGTTTGATAAACGGATTAATGACCCGCCCGATGTCGATAAGCGGATTATCTGTAATCACAATTAACTTATTACACCTGCTGTAAATGTTAATTAGCTGAGGGTCATAAACTTGTCATTAATATGAAGACAGGTAGAATAATTGTATTTTCATCAAAATATTACGGCAATAAAGGCATGGAGCATCTTAAAAAGGGCACAGGGCGGCACTTGGGAAAGGGCAGGCGGATCGCCCTGTGAAAACAACCTAGCTGGAACACTGTTACAACTTACTATACAGTATTGGTTTTGCTCATTGTTGAAGGCATTCAGTGACATATCGTTGCTAGCATCCTCTCCCTATGGTTTCACACGAATAGTTGTTTCATTTACAATCATAACACATCTCCTTATCTTTATATTACTAATGCTGTATACCACATATATAAATGGTCTATCATTAGTACTTATTCTAAAATTGGCCCAATAAGAAAATGTAATTTTAGGTGTTAATAATGCATAAAGGGTATCACCTAGGCCTCATTTTACAGCATTCAATGCAGGACAGACAGAAGTTGGGGATGTTGACTTGACAGGGGAGATAATAGATCATTGATAAAAATTTGTATGAATAATTGAAAAAAAAAATAACTCACCTTCTTCTTCTGATCCCTCATCAGCTTCATCATCTATAAACTAAATAAAACAAAAAATCATGAGATAAAAAGTCCATGGCTTGCTATGAAAAACCCCAACTAGCGGCACTAAAGATTCTACATCAATCACCTGAATCTATGTGCATCTTCAACAATGGCCACTCACCAACATTATAGACTAGAATATAATTCATGACTAAAATTCTCTTTTTTGCTTATCATTTTTGTTGTTTACAGTTTCTCACTTCCATAGTTTTCACCCAAAAAGCAAAATAAGTAAAAAAAATCATCATCATCTGAGGGCTTCTTTAAGGAGTGGACCGACAGGTTCAGCTATGTGACTTATTTGTAGCTCTTGCTGATAATTTCCACCGTTGGAGTTTCTCTTTAGCTTCTATAGCTATTGCTCAAAATGAAAAAAATGGTTTCATAACATTTGGTTGAGGAAAACTTAAGTTAGAGAACGGAAACAAAAAATTAAGCAATTTTTCCATTTGTAAAGGGGCATAACTCTAGAAAGGTACAAATGATGCCACCCAAATTCAAACTTGATCTGTGTTTTGTGGTGATAAGCATTGTGTATAAGATTCATAACATTTGGTTGAGGCAAACTTAAGTTAGAGAACAGAAACGAAAAATTCAGCAATTTTTCCATTTGTAAAGGGGCATAACTCTAGAAAGGTAAAAATGATGCCACCCAAATTCAAACTTGATCTGTGTTTTGTGGTTATAAGCATTGTGTATAAGATTCATAACATTTGGTTAAGTTAGAAAAACAGAAACGAAAAATTCACAAATTTTTCCATTGAAAAGGGGCATTTACTCTAGAACAGTAAAAGTGACGCCACCAAAATTCAAACTTGATCTGTGTTTTGTGGTTATAAGCATTGTGTATAAGATTCATAACATTTGGCTGAGGCAAACTTAAGTTAGAGAACGGAAACGAAAAATTCAGCAATTTCTCCATTAGTAAAGGGGAATAACTCTAGAAAGGTTAAAGTGATGCCACCCAAATTCAAACTTGATCTGTGTTTTGTGGTTATAAGCATTGTGTATAAGATTCATAACATTTAGTTGATGCAAACTTAAGTGCGAGAATGGAAACGAAAAATTCAGCAATTTTTATGTTTATAAAGGGGCATAACTCTAGAAAGGTAAAAGTGACGCCACTTAAATTCAAAGTAGATCTGTGTTTTGTGGTTATAAGCATTGTGTATAAGATTCATAACATTTAGTTGAGGCAAACTTAAGTTGGAGAACGGAAACGAAAAATTCAGCAATTGCTCCATTTGTAAAGGGGCATAACTCTAGAAAGGTAAAATTGATGCCACCCAAATTCAAACTTGATATGTGTTTTGTGGTTATAAGCATTGTGTATAAGATTCATAACATTTAGTTGAGGCAAACTTAAGTTAGAAAACAGAAACGAATAATTCCGTAATTTTTATGTTTATAAAGGGCATATATAACTCTAGATAGGTAAAAGTGAAGCCACTTAAATTCAAAGTTGATCTGTGTTTTGTGGTTATAAGCATTGTGTATAAGATCCATAACATTTGGTTGAGGCAAACTTAAGTTAGAGAACAGAAACCAATTTTGGGGACGTACGCGACGGACAAGGGTAACACTTAATGCCCCCTCAGCTACAACAGGGACGACATTTAAACTAGATACCCCAACCATGATTGTAGTCAAGTTTGGATTTATTTGGCTTACTAGTTTCAGAGGAGAAAATTTTTTGTAAAAGTTAACAGACGTCAGACGACAAACGACTGATGACAGGCCTCAAGTGTTAGCAATAGTTCACACTGGCACTTTGTGTCAGGTGAGCTAAATATGATTCTGATCAAAGAACAAAATACAATGTACACAAACGCATAATATGGTTATTGGTTAAGATTGTGAGAAAATGAGGACTCCCTAAATATAGCAATGGCAAATTTGGTAAGAGAAAACTTAGGAAAAGTGGATATAAGTGTGTACTATTGTCAGATAGTGTGCAGACATGACGAAGTAACCCCAAAAATAATACAGATGAAGAAATGAAAAAGGAGGTGCAAAAGTACATCAAGTGAATAAGATTCTGTGAAAGTTTCATAAATTTCTGTCCAGCAGTTCAGGTTTTATTTCTACACTTTTGTTAAATAACCAATTATTTCAAATTCAGGGAGAACATAACAGCCAAAAAAATTGTACTTCACCTCTTATGCCACCATTTACAAGGTAAATATTTATTTGATTAACAAGAGGTTTCTATGTTTTACAGACAAAATGTTATAAATTGTATATATACATGATATAAGCTAATTAGCAGTTTTTACTTGAACATTTCTAATCTAATATTCACTTGAAAATGTAATATCCCAATTGTTTAATAAAATGCTTCGCTGAGCGCAGCCTGATATGACCGCAGAGGTCGAACCCTGAACAGTTGGGGCAAATTTGGACACAATATTCAAGCTTGATACTGTCTGAATTTGGATTGTGATCAAATTTTTGACATAATATAGGTTTCTGACACAAAATAAATGTGGTCAAAGATCTTATAAATTCATTGCGCAATACTGTGCAATTGAAGATTTCTTCTTGGAAACTTTTCAAAAATTCGAAATTTAAAAATTTTGAAATAAAATATGAATCCCTTAAAAAATTGGGAAAAAAATCCCCCCCCCCCAACTTATTGAAACCCCCCTTGGAGCAATAACCCCAAAACTCACAGCCTTTCCTTTTTAGTATGGAACCTTGTAGTACAATTTCAGAGAGATCCATACACTTACACACAAGTTATCGTCTAGAAACTAGAAAAATGCTTGTTTTTGGCCCCTAATTCCTACATGTTTGGGGCAATTAACCCCAAACTCAATCCCAGCCTTCCCTTTGTTATATGGAACCTTGTGGTACAATGTCAAAGAGATCCATACACTTACACACAAGTTATTGTCTGGAAACTAGAAAAATGCTTGTTTTTGGTCCCTTTTTGGCCCGTAATTCCTAAATTGTTGGCCTCCATAACCCCTAAAATGAATCCCAACCTTCTACTTGTGGTATCAAACATTGTGGTACAATTTCAGAGTAATCGAAATACTTATACACAAGTTATTATCCTGATACTAGAAAAATGCTTGTTTTGGCCCCTTTTTGGGCCCCTAATTCCTAATCGGTTGGGACCATCATCCCCAAAATAAATCCCAACCTTCCTTTTGTGGTATTGAACCTTCTTAAAAAATTTCATAGAGATCCATTCACTTAAACTAAAGTTATTGTCTGGAAACCAATGTGTCTTTGGACGACGACGACGACATCATACCATTATACGATCCCAAAATTTTTTTTTGCGGTCGTATAAAAATAGGGGGTAAATGGCCAATTATACAGGAGCCTGTTTTTATATTCTTCTTACATCTGCAAATTCATTTTCAATATCAAAATCTTCTTCATCATCATCATCTTCGTCATCTGAATCTACCATTTTCATCTTCTTCTTTTTCACTGCCTTCACCTTTTCCTTCTTTCTCTTTTTTCCACCTGAACAAAAAATTATTTTGTTTTTTATACAATTGTTCAGATAAGAAAATAAATAACACGTCAAAAATATATTTTTTTTAAATTTTGCTATGTTTAAAGGGCCATTTGCTACAGATTCGACAAAAATAATAATTTTTTTTTTTCTTCAAACATTTATAAAACTGACATGTAAAAGAGGAATAAAGAAATTATATTTCGCTTAACAGTAAGTTTGGTTCAATTTCTTCAAAATAATCTAATAATAAAATGCTCCACTGGGCGCAGCTTGATACGACCGCAGAGGTCGAACCCTGAACAATTGGGGCAAGTATGGACACAACATTCAAGCTTGATACAGCTCTGAATTTGGATTGTGATTAAATAGTTGACACAGCATAGGTTTCTGACACAGACTGAATGTGTTCTAAGAACTTAAATTTTTTTAATTTACCTATTATGGTCCAATATCCAAAATCTAAATACATGGTTAGATTCAGCATATCAAAGAATCCAAAGAATTCAATTTTTGATGAAATCAAAAAAAGTTTAATTTTGGACCCTTTTGACCTCAATGTGGACCAATTTGATAACAAGGCCCAAAAATCAAAATACATGGTTAGATTCAGCATATCAAAAAACCCCATATATTCAATTTTTGTTGAAATCAAACAAAGTTTAATTTTGGACCCCAACTTGGACCAACTTGAAAACTGGACCCATAATCAAAAATCTAAACACATGTTTAGATTCAGCATATCAAAGAACCCCAATAATTCAATTTTTGTTAAAATCAAACCAAGTTTAATTTTGGACCCTTTGGACCTTAATGTAGACCAATTTAAAAAACGGGACCCAAAACTAAAAATCTAAATACATGGTTAGATTTGGCATATCAAAGAACCCCAATAATTCAATTTTTGATGAAATAAAACAAAGTTTAATTTTGGACCCTTTTGACCTCAATATGAACCAATTTGATAGCGGGGCCCACAAATAAAAAATCTAAATACATGGTTAGATTCAGCATATCAAAGAACCCCATATATTTAATTTTTGTTGAAATCAAACAAAGTTTAATTTTGGATCCCAATTTGGACCAACTTGAAAACTGGGCCCAAAATCAAAAATCTAAATAAATGTTTAGATTCAGCATATCAAAGAACCCCATATATTCAATTTTTGATAAAATCAAACTAAGTTTAATTTTGGACCTTTTGGACCTTAAAGGGAAACTTCGCAAAAAAATGAAAAATTCATATTCTGTTCATTATGTATAAAAAAGCACAAATTCATAGATATTAAAGTTTTATTCAGCAAGTTAAGAGATCAACATCGATTTTAAATTTAGAGTATCAATTCTCCGCATGCGGCCATTTTGACATCCTCCCCGAATATTGACCACGATATATCTATAAACCACAAAGGACCAAAACAAGCAGTAACCTAACGTAGCCGTAATTGAGTGTCGATATCTTGTCAAGCGTACGGTTGTTTTATCCGACAAGGAAAGCATAAACAGTTTCCCGGGTCACAAAAAAGATTATGATAGACATGGTTGTGCAACCTTTCCTAACTAACTTGATACGGAAAATGTAATTTTATATATATTATTTTTTAAATAACTAGTACTAATAGTATGGTCTGTCGTTTTGAAACTGTTTTGTTTACGAAGTATTTAAAACAAGAAATTGAAATAAGTTAAAAAGTCAAAGTTATAAATAAGTGTTCCGTGTAAAATTGTTTTTGAAAATCTAGTTTGTTCATAATTGTTTAAAATAAATTCGGACCTTTCCTTATCTGATCACCAGAATGGCTAAAGGAATTGTTCCCAGAGGTATTGTGAGGTGACACGTACAGGTATTCAAGCGATTTCCTGTCGGGCTTTAAAACTGTTATTACACAATTACATAAAACAAGTTCGTGCATCACTTCTTTTCTGGGGGTATTGATCAGTGTACACGGCCGATAACATGTAACTTCCATTTTGAATCTATCAGGTGTAATATACAACTTTGTATAGCGTATCCGATAGTGATATACTAGTCATTGCTTAACTCATACGCTTGTTTATAAATAACATTTTTGGTGTAAAGAATGATATTTATGAAAATTTAAATAATTAAAAAAAAAAATATTTGATGAAATAAAAATCTATTTACACATTTTCCAAGGGTAAATTGGGGAAAATGTAAGTATATACTCGTCAATAATTATGGACATTTTGAAACATACAAATATTGATTTATCAAAATGTGCGGCACATGTCGATCATTGGTTTATACGCCTAGATGGAAGGTTTAATACGGAACTATGGATAGTCGCAATATAGAACTAATATCATACAAGTATATTGAATATACGAGAGAAACATCCAGAACCAATCTGATTTAAATACAGGTCGATATCTAACTTGCTTTGGTTCATCGAAGCTATAGGCATAGTAAAATCACAGATTTATATTTCAATAAGATTATTTCGAACAGTTTAAGAAATTCGTCATCATCACATTTTCCTGGTCCGACATGCATGTTATATATATATGCCACTGGACGTGCACTAATGATCCCCAAAAGCCTATTTGAAGAAATAAAGAAACTTCACTCCGGATAGACTGATGGTAGTTGTATTAACGTCTGGTCAGCTAGAGGGTTGATTTATTTATTTAGTTAGCTTGTAGGGGATTTAACCACTCTTAATATTGCACTTATGCATTAGATATTAAATGACAGTACCGGTAATATAAGAGAAAATATAAATACGAAAAGTCGCATATCAGATAGAAAACGACTCACCATGAACTATAGGATTGTACGTACGATTGTCATTCTAAATCGCATAACGGACAGTCATTTAAATGCATGCATGTACGCTGTGATAAAAAGGGGTGTCGCAGTTGCAAAGTATTCATCCTAAATCTATTTCAAGTTTATTATTTCTTGTTATTTTTATAAGTTAACGCAGAGACATGTATACACTAGATCTCTATTTAACGACAAGCAACTATATAAATATCTGAATTTGATGTGACTTACAGTTCATCTCTTTCTTTTTTCTCATTTTATTTTTATTTTTGCAGGAATATACACATTGTAAGATAGAATGTAGGACAGAAAGTCACAGGACAAAAAGTCACAGGACAAAAAGTCACAGGACAAAAAGTCACAATTCAAGTTTGAGATTAATTTTCTTTAAACAAGAAAACACTTATTTAAAAAAATAAATTTTTGTTTTTTCTTGAACTATTATATATGAAGCAACTTTGTAATTAAAATTTATTCAATAAATATCAATAATGATCAAATAATTGTAATGAAAACAAAATGTCAAAGTGGCTTGGTACTTAAATGGCTTCATTGTGCCAAGAAATATATCTTTGCATGATTAAAATTTAATAAATTTTCATTTATCGAGGCTTATGAACAATTTCCTAAACTTAAAAATGAATATATGTAATAAAAAGAAAATATTTCAAGATCTTTCTCTTACATATTTAAACAATTGTCAACAAATTATTTGTGACTTTTTGTCCTGTGACTTTTTGTCCTATCAAATTTGTGACTTTATGTCCTGTGACTTTTTGTCCTGTGACTTTCTGTCCGTTTACCGTAAGATATACTGTTCCTCGATTTGGGGGGTGGTCTGAGGTCATGTCTATCTATCTATGATTAACCTTGACATTTCCGGGTATAACAGAGCTACTTGTATATTACCTGAATGTGGTTAGGTGAAGTCCCATGAGGTCTTACGTATACATGTTCATATTTATAATGGTTTCTGATATAACAATTAGGTTTTATAACATTCACACTTCTGCATGTTCTGTATACCAAATTCGTATCTTTTTTTCAGACCGAATGAGGATGTGAATATTTTCCAGGATCAAATTCATTTCGGGATTTTTTTTATTTCTTTGTATTAAATCTCAGAAATTTACAGAATATACTGCTTGTCCGCTTTAGGAGTTTTCTTGTCAGTTTAAACAGACGTATATATGTCTCTGGTTTAGGGTGGGTTTATGAATGAATGATAAGTCTTACAAAGGTACAAGATATCAAGCACAGTGAAAATTGATTTCGACGTTCTGTCTCCATTTAAAAAAGGAAAGTTGACGTAAGATTGATTCTGCTAATTTTTTAAACATCGTTGGTCAAATAGCTTAAGAATTATATAAATACGTTGTCATTCCTGATTAGGTAAATGAAGATCGCTTTGGACGACAAAACTATATTTTTGTAACTGATAATTTTCTCTGCACATTTAAATATTCAAGGTTACCGATGATAATTTAAAATAGTACTGTTTTAATTTATACGCTCGTTTTCGTGGGCCATTTATAATATTTATATAATTATTTTATTAAAAGTGATTCAGAATTTCGATTTTACAACAAAATGCTCACCTATTTATTTAAAAACTGAGCAAATGCATAATGTTAAAAAAAATATATATATAACGGCGATTAAGGTATTTTGCCACCATATTCCTCCCTTAATAATTAAATCTGTCTCATACCTGCAACGGTGAACCCTTGAGGACAAACAACACTCTAGTGAAGATCAAAGGATTAAAATTACATAATGCTAATCTTTTAATTACCGTGAATTTAACCACGCCTTTACCAGGTGGTGTCAGCATAATACACATGCATTGTATTTACACAGTACTAGACTGAAGCAAGGATTTGTATAGTAAGACAAATCCTCGACTGAAGTAATAGGGGAGAATACAAACGTGAATTTCTATATACTATCAGTTATATATGTTGTTCAAAATATCCGTCGAAAAAAAAATCATAAAAAAATTCTATTGTATGATTTGCTTTTATTACTATAATCATATCAGAAATCCTTAAAATATAAATCGTAAATTTTAATTTAAAATGAACTGCTGATCACTTTTCTTTCTGAATTGTTAGTTGGTTAATAGCTACGCCAAAAGTCGTCGATGCGCTTTAAATCGCGTTATTAGATGATTAACGAACAAGACTTACAATGAGATTTATTCACTCCCGGCATGCAAAAAGACTTAAACTACGTCACATAAGTCAGGAAGTTGGAATAAATAGAATTATTAATTCCCAATTTTCTTCTTTATTAGTGTTCATATCCAGATAAAACTTGGTGAATATGTTTTTAATGGTATTATGAACATAATAAGATGATAAGTAAAAAATCGCGAATTTTCCCTTTAATGTAGACCAATTTAAAAAACGGGACCCAAAATCAAAAATCTAAATACATGGTTAGATTTGGCATATCAAAGAACCCCAATAATTCAATTTTTGATGAAATAAAACAAAGTTTAATTTTGGACCTTTTTGACCTCAATATGAACCAATTTGATAGCGGGGCCCACAAATAAAAAATCTAAATACATGGTTAGATTCAGCATAACAAAGAACCCCATATATTCAATTTTTGTTGAAATCAAACAAAGTTTAATTTTGGACCCCAATTTGGACCAACTTGAAAACTGGGCCCGAAATCAAAAATCTAAATACATGTTTAGATTCAGCATATCAAAGAACCCCATATATTCAATTTTTGTTAAAATCAAACTAAGTTTAATTTTGGACCCTTTGGACCTTAATGTAGACCAATTTGAAAACTGGACACAAAATTTAAAATCTAAATACACGGTCAGATTTGGCATGACAAATAAATAAATGTGGTCAAAGATTTTACAAATCTAATGCGCCATACTGTGCAATTAAAGATTACTTCTTGAAATTTTTCAATATTTGAAAAATGAAAAAAAAATAATATTTGAAGAATAATTCTTTTTAATTTCTGAAATCTGAAATGAGAAAAAATTGACCCCCACAATTTCTTTTTACCCCCCCCCCCCCCCCCCCCTCAATTCTTTCCCTCAAGATATGGTCATAATCTCAATTCAAATTTCCAATGGAATTGCAACCATAATTACCCATCTAAATTTACCATAGTGCTAACTTAATTTATTTTATAATAGAATTTAAAATATGGTGTCAAATCTTTCATATGGATTTTTTTGTAAAAAAATAAAGATGCAACATTTGCAGATATTTTTACTGGTCTTCCTTTATAAATATGCATTTCTTTAAACATAATTTAAAAGCAGTGTAAGGGAAGTAATCAAAGCGTTGTATGTGGATTACCTCCCTTACACTGTTTTAAATTGTCTTAATTGTTCATTAACCATTACTTTATACATAGTTTAAAAGCAGTGTAAGGGAGGTAATTCAAATGATGTATTTGATTTATCTCCCTTACACTGCTTTAAATTATGTTTTGTACTAAAGTATTTGTCCATATAAAAATGCTTGTTTTTTGCCCCTTTTATGGCCCCTAATTCCTAAAATTTTGAGGCAATTACCCCCAAAATCAATCCCAGCATTCCCTTTGTGATATGGAACCTTGTGGTACAATGTCAGAGAGATCCATACACTGACACTCAAGTTATGTCTGGAAGTTACAAAAATGCTTATTTTTGGCCCCTTTTTGGCCCCTAATTCCTTAACTGTTGGTACCATAACCCCCAAAATCAATCCCAACCTTTCTTTTGTGGTATTGAACCTTATGTTAAAATTTCACTTAAACTAAAGTTAGAGTGCGAAAACCAGTGTGTCTTCGGACGACGACAGCGTCATACCAATATACGATCGTATATTTTTTTGCGGTCGTATAAAAACATTACTGGTAAATTATTGACTAGCAGTTCAATAATTCAACTCATTTGAATCCATATTCATGGTACCTTTAATTTAACTTTTAGTGGAAACAGGTTTAGGATATGGTTCATTCATTAAAAAGAAAAGAGTGTCAACATTGAAAAGTGAAACAAGTGAGACACTAGGAATAACCATTTCGTTGACTGATCTGGCCAATCAAAATCATTCTTATACTGGTAAAACAATGATTTACAAATATTTCAACTTATAATATGAAATCAAACAGACCTAGAAAAATCCAATCACACGCGTCGCTATCTATTTATATTCACATCTATATCAGGTTATATGACCTTCAGCAGTCTTCACTGGTCATATGCTGATACATTATGGCAAGCCAATGCATTGTTCATGTTGTTAATTGTTTCTTTTGGACTTTTAGTAATTTGGATATACATTTTAATAAGTTATAAATAAATAAAATTAATGGTGAATGTGTCCATGGGACACAGATAATGCCCCCGCTTGCATATCATATAAAGTTATAAACAGACATAACTGAAGATCTGTAAAAGTGACGCTACCCAAATTTGTACTTGATCTGAGTTTTGTGGTAATAAGTATTGTGTACAAAACTCATAACATTTGGTTGAGGATAACTTAAGTAAGAAAACGGAAACGAAAAATTCAGCAATTTTTCTATTTGTAAAGGGGCATTTTGTAAAGGAGCATAACTCTAGAACGGTTATAGTGGTGCCACCAAAATTCAAACTTGATCTGTGTTTTGTGGTAATAAGCATTATGTATAAGTTTCATAACATTTGGTTGAGGCAAACTAAAGTTAGAGAACGGAAATCAACTTTGGGACATACGGATGGATGGACGGATGTATGTACAAACGGACAAGGGTAAAACTTAATGCCCCCTCCGCTAGAATTTTGGTCAAATTGGTGAACATGAATTTGACAGCTAATACCCCTTTAAACGTACACAAAAATGTATAGCAGTTCATTAAATATAATCCACATTGATTAAACTGTGATTTTGAAGTAGATATTTGCTGATTCTCTATCAAGCATGCTGTATTAAAAGATTAGGAGCAGAGACTAGTCAGCCTAAAGTCAGAACGATATTCCTTCTTATGGACATATAACCTTTAAAACTAAAGACATGTTGGTCTCATACAAAACTGGCTAGCCTCATACCACAGTGACATGTTGTCATCTTTGGATTTACTGGATGAAGTAAAACATTTTTTTTGCAGAAACAAAACAATAAATAATGAAAACAAATTTGTACCTGGTACTTTCTGTCCTTCACTGTCATCACTCACTAATGATGGTACTGCAATAAACAACAAAATATATTATAGCCAAACCATTAATAATCAATTAAGTGTCATCTTCAACAAAACAATTCAAAGTCATTGAACACAATTTTCATCTAAAATAGGAAGGAATATGATTAGTTTTTGACTTTCAATATATGGAGACATAGGCTACAAAAAAGGGGATCTGCTTCAATAAAGACAGTCTAAAAATATTAATAAATGGGTAAAATATCTAGGGACTATATTGATCTTAAAAATCCACTAAAATCAAACATTTTACATATTAGGAACACTGAGAGATCTTTTTTTAATCTCTGCTTAAACCTAAGCTATGTATCAATGATACTGGAAAGAACCAGCTGGTCACTTAAATCTCTGCCTAATCTACTGGGAAGTATAAGCAAGTCATATTAAATCAAGAGAGCTGTTAGACTATGTTTCTGTCTTGGAAGGTTAGAGGAGTCTTTTATAACTACTATACTTATATTTAAATTTAGCAGTATGACACAATAACGTTCAACCTAAAAATATGGAAAGGAAAGTTAGGCATGCATAGGAGGGTTATTAACTACCTTCCTCTTCATCTGATTCATATTCTTCAGACGACTCGTCCATCATGCTCTCTCCAAAGTCATCTGGATACTGGTCATCTTCCATCAAAAATCCGGATAAATGTACTACACCTACAAAGAAATTTTGAATATTCATTATTTCAATAATTACATTGTAATGAATAAGCAAGCATATCTGTAACAACAAGATTGCTAACGAAGTAGCCATGTCCACTACCAATGTGTGGGAGTTTTCCATAAATTTCATTTAACTCCAATGGGAAATGTAGGAGTGGAAGTGATTACAATGTTGATTCCTCATAATATTTATATTTGCAAAGGACATAACTCCCAAATTAACAATCAGTCAGCACCGATTTTATGTCTGGTCTGAGATAATGATGATGTTAACCTTTGACATAGATTTCAATAAATTTAAATGAGAAATGTTGGCACAAGAGCACTTATATTCCATGGGCATCACTCTCTGAAAATAGCTTTAGACAAAAAATATCCTCTCCCCTTCCTCTGAAGCCGAGATCTAATGTCAACAAAAATGCAGACAACAGAATATTACCCCTCCTACCACTAAAGCTGAAGTTTAATTTCTGCATAAAAAAAACCAACTTACTTTTATCATTGGTCAAGAAGAATGTAACTTCTTCTCCCTCTGTAAAGTTAAGGTCTAATGGCTGCTGATAAGTTTTCCCATGCTGTAGGGTACACAACATGAATTCTGCCTTCTCATGTTGTATCATTATTGATACCAAGTTATCAGATTTACCTGAAAAGAAATACAATGTGTTTATCAGACATATATGTGCAAATAATATGACTGAGATGCTGTCCGAATATTTTCATCTACATATTCATAAAATGCATATGCATTTATGAAATAATAAAATGCTCCGCAGGGCGCAGCTTGATACGACCGCAGAGGTCGAACCCCGAACAGTTGGGGCAAGTATGGACACAACATTCAAGCTTGATACAGCTTTGCATTTGAATTGTGATTAAATATTTGACACAGCATAGGTTTCTGACACAGAATGAATGTGGTCTAAGAACTTAAAAATTTTAAATTGGGCATTCACCTATTATGGTCCAATATCCAAAATCTAAATACATGGTTAGATTCAGCATATCAAAGAACCCCAAGAATTCAATTTTTGATGAAATCAAACAAAGTTTAATTTTGGACCCTTTTGACCTCAATATGGACAAAGTTGATAATGGGGCCCAAAAATCAAAAATCTAAATACATGGTTAGATTCAGCATATCAAAGAACCCCATATATTCAATTTTTGTTGAAATCAAACAAAGTTTAATTTTGGACCCCGATTTGGACCAACTTGAAAACTGGGCCCATAATCAAAAATCTAAATACATGTTTAGATTCAGCATATCAAAGAACCCCAAGAATTCAATTTTTGTTAAAATCAAACCAAGTTTAATTTTGGACCCTTTGGACCTTAATGTAGACCAATTTGAAAACGGAACCAAAAATTAAGAATCTAAATACACGGTTAGATTGGGCATATCAAAGAACCCCAATAATTTAATTTTTTATGAAATCAAACAAAGTTTAATTTTGGACCCTTTTGGACCTCAATGTAGACCAATTTAAAAATGGGGCCCAAAATCCAAAAACTAAATACACGGTTAGATTCAGCATATTAAAGAACCCCAAGAATTGTTGAATAAAACCCCATTGAAATTGATCAAGAAATAAGCAATTTATACGAAGTATCTTCTTTTGCACAATACTGTGCAATTAAATATTCCTTGCTATTGCGCAATACTGTACAATTGACAATTTCTTGCTATTGCGCAATATTGTGCTATTGAATATTTCTTGCTATTGCGCAATACTGTGCAATTGAAGATTTCTTGCTATTGCGCAATACTGTGCAATTGAAGATTTCTTGCTATTGTGCAATACTGTGCAATTGAAAATTTCTTGCTATTGCACAATACTTATTATATAATAATTTACACATCCTGTTTGGTGTGTATCTCCTACCATATCATTATTATTTGCTTTTAAATATAAATCAGAAATAACCAACTTAAAATGGAAAATTTTAAAAGAAAAAAAAAGGAAAAAAAAAAAAAATCCCCCCCCCCAAATTTTTTGAACCCCCTTATGATTCATGACCCCCAAACTCAATCCCAGCCTTCCCTTTGTGGTATGGTACCTTGCAGTACAATTTCAGAGAGATCCATACACATGAACACAAGTTATTGTCTGGAAACTAGAAAAATGTGTTTTTTGGCCCCTTTTTGGCCCCAAATTCCTAAACGTTTAGGGCAATTACCCCAAACTCAAACCCAGCTTTCCCTTTGTGATATGGAACCTTGAAGTACAATTTCAGAAAGATCCATACACTTACACACAAGTTATTGTCCTGAAACTAGAAAAATGCTAGTTTTTTGCCCCTTTTTGGCCCCTAATTCCTAAAATATTGAGGCAATTACCCCCATCATCAATCCCAGCCTTCCCTTTGTGGTATGGTACCTTGCAGTACAATTTCAGAGAGATCTATACACTTGAACACAAGTTATTGTCTGGAAACTAGAAAAATGCTTATTTTTGGCCCCTAATTTCCTAAACGTTTCAGCAATTACCCCCAAACTCAATTCCAGCTTTCCCTTTGTGATATGGAACCTTGTAGTACAATTTCAGAAAGATCCATACACTTACACACAAGTTATTGTCATGAAACTAGAAAAATGCTTGTTTTTTGCCCCTTTTTTGGCCCCTAATTCCTAAAATTTTGAGGCAATTACCCCCAAAATCTATCCCAGCATTCCTTTTGTGATATAGAACCTTGTGGTACAATGTCAGAGAGATCCATACACTAACACACAAGTTATGTCTGGAAGTTACAAAAATGCTTATTTTTGGCCCCTTTTTGGCCCCTAATTCCTTTACTGTTGGTACCATAACCCCCAAAATCAATCCCAACCTTCCTTTTGTGGTATTAAACCTTGTGGTATAATTTCATAGAGATCCATTCACTTAAACTAAAGTTAGAGTGCGAAAACCAATGTGTCTTCGGACGACGCCAGACGACGACGACGCCAACGTCATACTAATATACGACCACAAAAATTTTTTTGCGGTCGTATAAAAATGACAGAATCAGCCAATATAAATATTTTACTTCTTGATATGATAATCATTCTATTATTACAGATACCATAATTTGTACATGTTATATTGAATAGAATTTGTGCAATGAAGTATATTCAAATCACATTCTCAGTCAAAATCTCACAAATACATGATTAAGTCTCTCTAAAATTCACTGTATTGAGTTAATATTGGATAAGACTTTTCTAATAAGACACATTTCTGCATAAATATCCAAGTTATTATACAATCAAATGTGGTTTGTATACATATATAATCTTACACAGCCTCTAAAACATGAAAAGACCTCCCCAAGATTTCTGCATCACCAACCTTTAGATGGCTCCAGAGCAGCCATCGATAGATGGAATGAGCTCTCCACAGTTTGTGTATATCTTTTACCTCCATCTAAAGTAACTCCTGAAAAAATAAAAACCAGGAAGACATTCATACCTAAAATCACTGACAACAATCAAAACTAGAATATAACAATTCAGGAATAAGAAGTTTACTCAATTTCAAAGTATGTTTGAGATCTTTAATGGCCAAATATACTGGTCAATTTTAGAAAAATCTTTCCTTACAACTTTCAAAGTAATAATTTGGTGACTGTCATAAAAAAAAACCACTGGTATTAACACGATATCAGCTTTAACTAATGCACAATGATTGACACTTGCATTTGAAAAAATCGTCATCTAAGAAGTAGTTCGTCATTATCTCACTTGGGCCAAAAAAAAAATAATATGTGTTCCCGCTAACCCTACCTACCCTAATTTTCAGTGCCTACCCTAACTCTTTTTATGCCATTTTGGAAAAAGCACTGTTAAAGTCAGACTGATTCCCTAGTAGTAACAAGCTAAAAAATGTTTGTAAAATAAAATCATATTGCCTACCTACCTACCCTATTTTTTTCAGCACGTTAGCAGAAACACATGCATTATTATTTTTGGCCTTATTGTATCAACACTTTTGGATATTTCTGGAACTATTTTGAACCAACAAGCACACAAAAGGTAAGAATTTGTGTATATTGTGTATGTGCAAATTTTTTTTTAGCCATCAGTGATAATTTCATGGCAAAATTGGGTCTAAAAATTAAAAGCAAAATTTCCTCTTATCAAAGTCAAGCCAGAAAAAAAATGACTCCAGGGTTATCGTCTCGTATTGTGTTTTCGACCGTCTTACGTTTTCGACCTAATTCTACTTTCACTTTCCGTATGCTGCGCATGCCCGTGTGACGTCATGTTAGGCGGCTATATTTAGTAACAATAGCAAATAATACCACGTGTGATGAAGATGTTTCAAGTAAAGTTATTATAATTAAGTATTTACGTTATTTTATTTGATATCACTTTTTTGTACCTTTTCACTAATACTATTTTTACCTTCCACAAGAATCTATCAAAAATAAACAAATATTCTAGAAATATAGCTGAGGTCTTTTAGCATGTGAAGTTAACATCAAGGTCATTAAGTCACATGACTGTCATGTGGTTAGTTGTAATACTTAAAGTTATTTTTAATACGGAAATGTGGATGATCCTTACAGCTATTTTGCTGAAAAAAATAAAATATCAATTAATTTTAATTCACAGAAACAGCAGTCTGTCAGGGGAGATTACAATACTCACCAACCTAACTTCACAATGCCTTCACTAAAGTATATTGAACAGAAAAATGACTGTATACAAGGTCCTACAAGGATCTACAAGGCTTCCAAAGTGCCTCATGTGAAATGTGTACAACTATTCAAATAAAGATATCAAAATATTATTTTATATCTTATAGTTGTATTTGTCACCATTTAATTCATTAAGTCATAAGTTTGATCGCCTCTAACACTTTGAATAATTTGATATAAACATTGGCATCAAATTATAACCAATTCCGGATTTGTACGACATGTCATTTCGGACTTTGGAACCGTTTCTTAGATAGGTCGAAAACACAAGACGCTAGTTTTTGTCAACAAAGGTGCCATCGATCTAATGAACTCAAATAAAAAAAAATTATTTAAGATCGAAATATATTTTAGATACAATTATTTAATATACAAGTATACTAGTGACTCTAAAAAATATTAGGCATGTATATGTTCAAACATATAAAAGGGGAATATTGATAAATATGTTAGTACATATAGGTCGAAAACACAATACACCAGGATATAACATCCTAGGGCACGAGGGAGGATTCACAGCAAAACCCTAAAATAGACTTACAAAACCTCATAATAATTTGGATGAGGTCAACAATGGTAACTACTTATTTGTTTTTTGATTGCTGGGATCAAACTTGGTCTTCTGCAAAGGCAAACGTTTTTCTTTTGCTCCAAACAGTTTACAAGAATGCAATATATTATATTGAATATTTAGATGTATTTCGTTATTGGCAGTCAGTTTGGTTCAATTTTTCCACAATAAGTCTACAAACTTCGCCTTAAGATATTTGGCTTGAAAAATAATTCAACCTCATTTAGATCCATATGAAACTTAAAAAAGTAGGAAATGCAACATGGAATTTTAATACCGGTGCATGTGTAATCATACGACTACTATTAAAATCCTTGTCATGTGAGAAAGAGGACAAGTAAAAGATTTACATTAACAGATCTTATTTACCCCAAAACATGTTCTTCGCTTCCTTGATGTGCATTAAATTGGTAAAAAGTTCAGTAAAATTTGCTGTAAACAATCCAAACACGTGTGTCTGCTTTTGTCGTAAACTGGCGTTGGATGTCGTAAAATACGGTGCGCACAATTAACAATATTATTTACTACACTGGATATTGTGGTGGAGGATAATGCTCATTCATATTTTACAATGGATTTAATGTGTTTTAATATGTACAGATACTTTTAATATAATTTATCGGTCTCGTCAGAGTGCTCCTAGACAGGAGGGAACTACGAAAGAAGAAGAAGAGAGAAGACTGACTAGCATGGACAAGGATTAATTTTGTATAAATTCGTATAAATACTATACAAAACCTTTTCCTGGGATCATGGCTCACTGCTTGACAGTAGAATTCAAATAAGTATTCAACGAATAAACTAACAACATATCTAATGATTCACCAGCGCTGAAAGTGGTCACGTGGATTGTATTAGGCTATATTATTTACCTCCGTAAATGATTTAAATTGTTATTCAGTTGCTCAAATAAAGGTTTTAAATATAACTATTAGCTTAATGCATGAATATATTGTTTTAGTGCTTAAGTGCTTTAGCTTAAGAGACCTGTAATATAATTAATTGTATTATATGTATCTGGCTTAATGCACATTATATACACTGACATATGTGCTCAGTTAATTGTATCTCTTTAAAAATCTAATGTGTGAAAATAAATAATCCTTGTCCGATATGTATCTATGGACATGTGCATGGTATGTCATAAAATCTATCATATCTTTATTATGCATATATATGTCTTATGTATGTAATTGTGTCACACTGGCGCGCGTGTTATACTCTGGGAATAGTATACTGGTAATATCAGAAGTCCATTACTAGATAATATCAGAAGTCATTTATGTAACGGACTTCTGATAATATATTATGTCCAAGGCAGGTTTAATGTAGTCAGTCATATTTCGGTTTTAAAAGCCGCCGTCTGCTGAATTTATATTATACTGTTAACGGTATATGTACAGACTTTAAATTATGCCTTTGACTTGACTTTAACTTTGGGGTTTATTGGTGTGAAAATTTACTCAACTCACTCGGAGGACTTTATGGTAATTTTGTGAGTGGTAATTACCGTTAAACGGTACCAGATGCTCATTTCGACAATTAAAGTCTCTTTAATGATGTCTGAGGCGCGAAATATATGAGAATCCAAAACTTATACAAACACTGAAATTCTGATATAACCGAAAAGTATGGCCAAAACCGGACAAGGAATCAGAGTTATCAGGCATGGCGGGAGTATATATGAATATATGAAGTTGAAGTTATCCCTTTGAAAATTTTACAGACGCCATCACGATTTTTATGGCATGCCTAAAGGGTGCAGTAAAAGGACCCACTCTCGGTCAGAAATATTTACAAATCAAGCAGAATTCCAAAAATTATCAGCTTACCCCAATAATTTATATTTCTAAAAAATATTTGTTTTTATATGAAAACTTCTGAAAATTAAATGAAAAGAACCAGTCCAAAAACACCATGAAACACACCCTGAATACAATACAGCATGTTGTTTACCAAAACCAGAGACAGAAACACAGACAACACTATGTAAAAACAGAGGTTATAAGGCAAAACAATACAATATACGGTTTAGCAACGCCAGATAGACATATAAAGACAAACAAAACTTTCACCAAGAGTTTTAAAAGACGGAACTGAGCCCAACAAAAGTTCACAAAATACTGTAATAACTGATTAAGCTACATGAACCGCTCAAAAAATCAAATGGAGGGTCGAACTTAGGTACCCCGAAATGGGGGGGGGGGGGATGCCTGTTCCTCTAGTGGCATATTCAGTGACGTGGTCATCAGTATCAAAGATAAATCCATTACGGACAACCAAACCATTTCGAAGAGATTGGTTTGATGAAGAAAGACTGTCTTAAATGAATAAAGGATCAAGTCGGCGAAAAGAGGGGCGCATATGGTCCTTATAGAGATGTCGATTGTTTGTTGAAATAAAAGTTCAACTAACGTATGAAATGTGTTGTCTTTAAAAACACCTAGCATCTTGATGATGTCAGTATAAGAGATTTTTTTCAAAATTAGGGTGTTTTTTTTACAATGTATGAATCCGTCCTGAATACTTATGTCTAGATATTTATTTAACGTTGGCAATTCTTCTATGAAACAAACTAAGACTTTTTTATTTCAATATCTCTTTAAATTTAGAAGGAGGAATATTTTTATAAAAGATGCAGAAGACAAATGCGTTTTAAACAGCTGTTTGAGAAGAGTGACCTTTATTATAAAAATAAGGAAATATGGTATGATTACCAATGAGACAACTCTCCACAAGAGACCAAATGACACAGAAATTATTGTATGTACTATAACAGATCTCTTGATTTTATATCAAGCAAATATAAGATACGGCAACAAACGACAACCACTATATAAATGGACCGTGACGTTGGAGTGAATGGGACCATACACTTATAATGCATGAAATACGTTCAAATCAGTATACTAGTACTTGCTAGTCTTTGTAACTTCGTGCATGTATATGCTACTCGGCGGATGGTGTCCAGGGGACGAAAATATTTACGAACAGTATCATCTATCAAGTGGTAGTAATAAAATAAGAAGTTACCAAGAGGGACAATAAAACAAACGTCGAAGTTTTATGGATAACACCATGAGCAAATAAAACAAAAAGAAACTATAAACAACAGTCCACGAAACATTAATGAAAAACGAAGGATCAAGCTTGACGAATATCATCTGAAACCTTGAATGAAAGCAGGTTTCCCGAAAGGGTAAGCAGTTCCTGTCCCATTAGTGTCACCCACCGTGTTACTTATAACACATAAAAATCTAGTGAATACTTTCTAGAATTTTGGCTTTGGTTTGGAAAATCTTTACTTTTTTGGGGGGCGGGATGGGATACTAAAATATTCAAAATATTGCAATGATGATTCATAAAAAAAACTAGCTATTATTGGCTAAAGTGTACAGAAATAAAAAATACTTTTATAAAACCTTAAAGTTTAAATAAGAAGTTAAGATATTGTTAATTTTTTTTAATTGAAGACCTGTGTGAAATAGCCCTGTTGATGAAACAAATGTTGAGAAATTTTGACTTCTTCTTTCTTTATTGATAAATATTCAAACTTTATATCCCCATCAGTACATTTTTTCTTCGTTTACCAAATAAATCCAAATAAAGTTTTATCAAGAGACAAATATTACTTTTTGGCTATCAGGTAGCAGATATATAGCACAAAAGAAGCTTTTAAAATTCTTGATTTTCCTAACTGTATTGAATTATTTTATATATATGCGCGAGGGGGGAAAAGAGAGAAAAAAGTGAATAAGTAGCCAGAGAGTGGGAAGAGTTGTTTCTAAATTAGTTTAGAAAATTTCTTATTTTATTTTTTCAAGATGTACAGTCATGTATATGATTAAAACGATATCTGATGGTGTGAGTTTATACGTGTAATGAAACAGCAATCAACAGAACTATCAAACCAGAAAAGACAAACCTGTCACGAAATAGAAGTTCCTTCATAATATAAGTTCCAAGTGGAAAAAATATTTTTTTATATTATTTCCACTGGAACAAATATAACAGAATTTGTTCCTTACGGAATAAAGGTTATAGAATATTTGTTCCAACAGGAACATATATCATGGCATAGTTTATAACAATGTGTCCAGTGGAACTTCTGTTAGGCGGAACACATATACGTTGACAAACCAAGGTCAACACATTGGATTCAAAAAGACAATTGTCTATAAGTTCCTTAAAAGGGGGAGAACCACTAAGATGTAAACAAAGACACCTCTGTCGATATTCCTGACTTGGGAAAAGCACGTTGGTATATATATATGTTGGGATAAAAACAATTTGTTCTGAGCACTCAACCTTCCTCTTTTTGTATCTGATTCACTTGAATAACAAAAGGATCAAAAGGAGAACATAACAACACTGAAATGACTTCTACGTCATTTGGTCTCTAGGTTGTCTCGTAGGCAATCATACCATATCTTCTTATTTTTATATAATATTGCTTTATAGTAGTTATACATATTAATATGACTATCAGTTCGGTGAATCTCAGATAGATAATTAATTCAATGATAAATGGAAATGTTTTGTTTTGTAATTATGTTTTTTGGAGATAGTGATCAAAACAGATGATTTTATAACAGATTACTGGTCAATCAGAATCAGACTAATACTTTGACATATCAGTAGTAATTCATTCTAGTTCAAGGCTATGTAATCATGCATGTTTCAATGAATAACATTCTGATGTTTAGCCTCCAGTTGGCCTTTTATTCGGACATTGATGAGATAAGTTGATGTAGACAGGATAAAGTAGTTTTTCTGGTGGATTTCAAACACTTAGTCACATAATCAAGCTTTTATATAGCGTTAAATATTGAATACCATAGCAAAACTATAATAGCATTATATAATGATTGAATGGCGTTTGATTAAAGTCCAATGGTAAATATTTCATGCATATGCATGTAGGGCGAGAACAAATAAGAAATATATATTTTTAGGTAGATTTTGCAAAGTTGTTTGACCAGGCTGAAGAACGAAAAAAACTCGACCTGCCACTGAAAAAGAAGAGCATGTGGCATTCTCCTTTAAGAGGCGTTTGATAAAAGTCACTATTCCGACCGGACGTGCCTGCGTATTCATACATTGAACACAGCCGACCAGTAACGGACGCACTACCCCCTTTTCAACGTGGGTTATGCTGTCGGACGGGAGGTCCAGAAGACCATATTTCTATATCCAGTCAACCCTTTGGTCTATCGTCTTATAAAATCTATTGATGCAATTTGCAACATTTTTACTGGCAAATGAAAATACATTCAACACTATAATGTCACCTTTACGGTCCCCCCATCATAATGTCGATGTATACATGTATATAACCTCCATCAATAGAACTTGTTACTAACAGTATGAAGTAATCACAAAAATAATCTGTGTAGACTGTGTTTCGCGGGCGTTATCCAAAGTCCATATTTTTTTTAAAAGTTTTATTGTTTCGTTTCTTTAAATCCTTCCTTGCCG